ATCGCATTTACGTAACGAAAATTTCCGAACCTCTTCCCATCGTATCGCAGGTGACAGCACAATCTCGAACAATACCAGCGTAAATAGTGCATTAGGGCTTTTCATCGAGATGAGTGCGTTCTTTTTTTCCAAGTGACAATGGGACGGAGGGCCGGGGGGAAAGGTACTAGAACGCGCACAATGGCCACTCGAGGCCCGCGAAGCCCTAGGTAGCCGAGCTTGAGGCCTCTCGAGTCGGTGTATGCGAACAGAATGCGGCGTTGATGATGATGTCGAAGAGAAGAGGGCCCGCGACGGGAGATTTTTCTATACCCGTGATCTTTGGATTCGTGTGGTTAAAAGCCATGAAGGGTCATAACGAGTTTTATAATCGACAGTTGGATCTATCAACTCTTGCGAGTCAGATAGCTAGTCCACTAACTTATATTATCAATTTTTTTTTCTGATGAAGATCCATAGTAATTTCAAAAACTACACCTCCCGATTTGATCTCCACAAACTTTATTTGAAAAAATATAATCACATGTTTCGCTAGCATAGCAGCTTTCTCAAGTGTATGAATACTTCAAAGTATTCTTTCATTAATAGTTATACAGGGGTGCGCAAAAGTCCGGAATAAAATTAATATCTTTTCAACCAGTATTTTAGGAAAAAACGCTGAAACACGTCGGTAAATTTCACGTTGTACGCATTTTTTGACAATAAAATGAAATTTTTTTTTAACCCCTAGATATTCCAGGTAAAACACAACATTAATTGGTCCTTCGAGCCGGATGGTTTCATTCATGTTTTTCGACAATTTGTCACTATACATCTCTTGCGGANTCCTGCTTAAATTGAGAAATTATGGAATATCCGGTACAGTCTATAAATGGTTTGAAGATTACCTAAATAGTAGAAGACAAGTAACAAAACTTAATAATGTAACGTCCTGTGAAATTGTCAATAACAACGGAGTACCTCAGGGCAGTACACTAGGACCACTCTTATTCCTAATATATATAAATGATATTGTTAATGAGGTAGACAAGTGTAAAATTCATCTCTTTGCTGATGACACACTTGTATATTATTGTGCACATGATGTGGAACATTTGATAGATACAATGAATAGTGAACTACAAAAAATAAGTCAGTGGTGTAGTTATAATGTATTGAAACTAAACGGTAATAAATCAAAATTCATGTTATTTACTAATAAAACAGGATATCATGAACTTGAAAGCAGACAATTAAATAATCATATTGATAATATAGAAATAGAAACCGTTAGTGCGACGAAATATCTTGGAGTCTTAATTGATAGAGGCCATCGAATACCATCGACTTCAATATTTTTAAAAGATCAGATTAATTACAGTTGTTATATTCAATATAAATATAATTAGAATCTTTATAGTTTTCATATATCCATGATAATACCATTAAGTTTGTGTTTTTTTTTAAATATGAGTTAATTACTGTAAATGTGTTCAATACAAATATATTTATAGTTTTTCATTATTTATCGGGTTTAGAAAAAATAGCGTATGCAACTCTCATGTAATGGTTATTAATACACTCGCATATACCATACAAAACTCGCCTTCGGCTCGTTTCGTATCCCGGTTAATGCTCGTGTCTTAATAACCATCATTACATGATCGTTGCATAATATACTATGACCTGAAACAAAAAATGATAATATATCACAGTCTGGTGGAAAGGCATATCACTTATGGACCACTCGAATGGGGGGGTGTATCTAAATGACATGCACATCCATTCTCTTGAAGTCATTCAGAAACGATACACCGCCTTGGAATTACTAAATATTGTCGTGATTGGGGTTTATCCACGACTATTATTATTCGATAAATGTTAGGCGGCATAGCCATTCAAATTCAGGTCGGAGAAAGAAAAAACAAGAATGTAACAAGCGAAAAACCAAATTGAAAATTAGTTTTCACAATTCCAGTGATTGCCCATATCATTTTTGAAAGCATTAATTGATGGAGCACAAACTATATGCTCAGGCAGGCCGTTCCACTGGAAGAAAACACGATGGCACAGAAAATGTTGGTGAAGAAATGTTCCTCTAACTATTTTAAATGGATGTCCTCTTAGTCTTTTATTATTACTCCGCACAAAAAAGTCCAAATTCACTGAGTAGTGTCTGTGATGGGAACAGATGCAGAAGTTAATTCAAATAATTCAAGGCTATGATTATATGGCAGGTCACGAATTTATTGGGATAACTTGGTGATACGTCTTTGATTATGCCCAAGCAAAGTAAGGATTCCAAACTTGCACAACCTACTCCTGGATTGAAAAAAACTATTATCATGTAAGATATACGGTTAACTTCTCATATTTTTTTCAATGTGTGTTCCTATTTTTTCAAATGATCACAGCTCATAACACCGAGGTCATTTTTTACTTTACAGGTTTCAGAGGAACGCCCATAATAAAATAATGGTGCTCTTCTGGATTATTAGAACCAAGATGGAGAACACTGAACGTCATAGTCCACTGATTCCTGTATACATGTTTGGGTTTGCATACAATTTTGTATCATGGGCAAAAAGGGAGACGTTAGGTTGAAAGTCACTTTGGAAATCGTCAACGAATATTTCGAAAAGCAGTGGGTCAATTACAGATCCCTGGGGAACACCACTTACCTCTGGATATAGTTTCGAAATTTGGTCATCTATTCGAACAAGACAAGATCTATTTGAGAAAAAATCTCGAATCAATCCAAAAACCCTAAAATTTCGTTACACATTGAAACCACAATGTAAGCAGCCAATTCATGGCATAATAAGAATTTTGATCGTAATATCCCTGAGTTATCCGTCTTACGAGTTCGCGGAATTGTGGAAGAAGGAATTTGGTTAAACTATTTATTGAAATTGTTTATACTGAATAGATATTTTGATCAGCATCTTTGACAATAATTATATAACTGATTGGTAGACCATTCAGTGTATTGTCTACCTCCGAAAGTATCAAATGAACAACTTAGCTTGTCAGTTTTCTATTTCTCTGCCGTTTTTTGAAAATTACAGCTCATTTGGGAATTTATTTTGGCAAAAAAAATAAAAAAATATCCTACCATTTTTTTTTTGTTTTGGGGGTGATGACACTTTTTCCAGAAATTAGTGTCCTCACACATGAGAAATACAAACACTAATTATTATAGGGAGAGTGATAGTGGGAACTCAAAGGTATCTACAATTAAAAAATAGCTCAGTTTCTTTGTTTTATTTTCGTGATAAAAAATGATAATTCTAAAAAATACATCATGTTTACAAAATTTTCCAGTCAGCACATTTTTTAAAACATACGAAAATATTATAAACCTTTCCTCTAAATGCTTGATTTAAGCATCAATTCTCGTACCCATCGCAGAGGAACATATATAATTCAACGTTCAATGAAAAAAAAGGAGATGTTCCAGTCCTTGTAATCGAGATCACTGTTAATCGCAATACAGCAACTACGTTTATCTCAAACGTTTCGATAAAATCAAGAAAAGCAGGATGATGAAGTAAACATCTTCATCTTAAGCCGAATTTTTTTTTCGGAAGAGTTATTTATGAGTTTCCACTTTACGAAATAAATGAGATTGTTTGCTTTGTAATAATGGTTCATAGTATTGGAAACTTTCAGTTTCAATTCTCAAGTAACGTCAGTACCATTTATTCACCCCATTTATTCAGCACAAATGGTGCTGAATTTAGTGTACTTAATACGCAAATCAAATTAGTTGTCTTATATTTTTTATGCAATCAAATTACTGTTTCCCTTTTAGTCATAAACTCCTTGGTCTTAAGGTGACCTGTTCAGAACTTGAAGCTCAAGTCTGCCCATTTTTTCTGTTGAGTATGAGATTCTTCTGAAAGATATTCATATTTTGAGAGACCCCAAAAAAGTCACAACTGTTTGATACAGAAATTTCACAATTTCTTACCCGAAAATCTCAAAATCTTTCTGCCTGTTACAAGTCGACTGCATGAGATAAGTTTTGTTTAAGAAACAGAGCTAAAACTAACTAAGTTCATTACGAGACGGCGATTTGTGGGGGTTGAAAAATTTTCCGATTCCTTTAATATCAACTCTGTAGTGAAAGCAAGTTGATAAAATATAATGAACCTTTCAAAATACCAACATTTTGATAAAGGTTGGGTTAGGTTAGGTCAAAAGTGAGCGGGCCAATTCGACCCTCCACCGCAACTCGCAAGGGTTTATTGTGGCTCACACCTTTCACACTCGACCAAATGAACCTAGCTTCTCAATGTAACCGATTAGTTTGCATGGTGAGTAGTCTTCCAGGTCATAAGAGAACGGCTCTGCCAAACTCTGAAAACCTGGTTCGGTTCCCAGCGGGGCAGGCACAAAGTATGTGCTCTCCTGTTTCATCATTTTCCAAAAACAGGCGACACACACTGTCTTCCGACAGTCCGAATATCTGTATATGATGATTCATATAACCTGTAAGAAGGCCTGTTAGATATCGTAGTTCATCCCTACTGTAGTCCAACTATTGTTTGGTATCAAGGTGAATAAACGCCTTGGAGTGAGTCAATCCAGCATTTTGTTAAAGAAACTCAAGGGCGAGAAAACCAGTTTGTCTTTTCAAAGGCAATGCACGTTAAAAAAAAGCATCAAAGATCTCAGCAAGCTCTAACAATTCTGCTACAGTTGAAGAAACATTTCAGAAACGGCATCGGTATCCTATGGAGGATACGAAATATCAAAAGATGGATGGGAAGATAAGTTAGAATTTAGTAGAAATAGAGATGTTTACATTTTGTTCCCTAATAAATCTAAAAACTTTTACGTCACCAACATCTAAAGGGGTGAAGAATTGTCTCCTAAAAATAGACAGAAGAGAATTAATCTCGTCACCTATTCGTGAAATACTATACATAATGAAAAAATACTTATTCGAACTGAGATAAACGTAGTCACCAGATACACCCGTACCGATACACAAGTAACGAGAAAAACAAACTGCCAACTGTTGTACCAGACTTTACTTAGTATACCCCTTTGTACATTTGCAATCACCCGTTGAATTCCTATCTTCGTCCCCGCCTATTTCCTGTAGCTGTATCTATTTGAGGATTCGTATGAATCCCGATACGGTCCTGGCGGTCTCTTCTGACTCTGATGTTGACCGTAGCTTTGGTTGTGGTTACCTGAATTATTGTAACCTCCTCTCGAGTTGCCCCGGCCCCGGGAGTTGTAGCATCCGGAGCTATAGCTCCCGGAGTTGCCGTATCCCCTGGAATTGTTGTAGCTTCCAGAATTGTTGTAGCTTCCAGAATTGTTGTAGCTTCCAGAATTGTTGTACCCTCTGCCGCCGTAGCTTTGTTCTTGGTACGAGGAAGAACCATGATTGTCGAAGGACCTCTGGTTGTATTTGCTACCGCCTCCTTGATAGCCTGAAACGAAACAATATATCGATAAGAAACTTGAAGCGAAACCAAGTTGCAACTTAATCAGTATTTTCGAGTACTAGAGTTTTCAACTTGAGAGATAATAACGGATCTAGAGAAGATACGAAATAAAAAATAATGACACGTTGGGGAAAGGGGGATGCGTTTGAAGTTATTTTATTATTATTACTGCGTAGCATATTGTTATAAATATTTCCCTGAAAAAAAAAAATAAAGCCGGCCGCCGCTGATCGTTGTAAATCGATTGTGACTCGGCCAAGATCGCGCTCAACTCGACTTGCATTTCGCGATTATTCTAGATGCCGCGCCGCTTTGATAGACTTCTAGCGACTTCCCCATCGGCTTCGAAAGACTTCGATTATCATATATAAACACGACCAACACGCATATCGGTAAGAAGTGCGGTAAGCAGTGCGGTAACAAGTGATCTAATAAGGTATTTGATTGAATTGTCATTGTAACAGTGAAATAAAGTTAAGTTCGTTTGTACAGTGTACTTAATTAATGGCAAACCCACGAGGAAAACGTAACACTATTAAAAAAAAATCCCATAACGCGATAACTTGTCATTTTGACATATTTCGTATCGTGATGAGACAAATTGTCTACTAAACCGTGATCGTATATTCCAAACACGATGCACATTCTTAAGTCTCCTTTATGCTATTGAAATGTTTTATCTTATTTTTGAAATGAACATTATTATTATTAAAAAATAAATAAAAGCCAGTGCAGGTTATAAAACGAACCAAAAGTTAATAAAAAATGTTGGTTTGCGATCCTTTCGCTTTAAAAAAATAGGGTGGACGCGGTAAAGCATTATAAACCCGCCTATACTAGCTGTAGAAAATAGAACGAAAGCACAACATTTTGTTTCAGCACACTGATAGCGTTTTACTTTAATGATAAGCATTTATTACTCTTCACTATTAGGAAAGTATAGGCTATTTACTGCGATAAGCGGTAAAATTTTCCTCCCTCTTCGACGTACACCCCGTTGCATCCTCGAATTGGAAATTCGCCTCGGACGCGGTACCTGAACATCCACAAAGGATTCCAATCAGAGCGGACAATGGTCGCCGGATCGGACGACCCGTCACTAGATCCAATTTACAACAGAAATTCGCCTTCGAGTGGATTGTCGGTGTCAGACGGGATGCTTTCCCTGTGATGCGGTGGACCGTGAAAAGTCGACGCGACCGCCAAAACGGAGAGTGCTAGTGAGTGAAATGGCGAAGGCGATAGGAAATAAGATAGCGTTCGGAGACAGACAAAATTAGTTCTTTTGAAAAATCTGAAATCGTTAATTTCTTTTCATCACGACTTTTTTGTTTTAACGTTGTACGTTATACATGACAATATTAATTTGCAACGTGCAACCTGGCCAAAGGATTTCTTAAGAATGCCTTTCGGTTTTGAAAATGCCCCATCGACTTGGCAAATATTTAGCGACAAATTTTAATACATTCAAGTTATTTTTAAAGACACAAGCACTAAAGGAAAATCCTCAAGGCGCTCTAAATGCGGTGTCTGTACCAAAGTAGCGGTTCACGTTGGATTTGAATCGCTGAAGATTATATCCATTTGGAAAAACGTTTTCAGGAAGTTTATTCCACCTGAACGCAGTTCTCCAAACAGTGAAGTTCGTGGTGTACTGAGTTGAACCTCAAAACGAGCAGCCACAGTCCGTCGCGTATTTCTGATATGTACTGCTCTTGGTAGAATCAAATGTGCCAAGTAACTTGAACAACTCCCGTGAAAGTATCTATAAAAGAGAGACAAATCTCCAACCTTTCATCGATGTTCCGGACTATCTAGATTGCAAGAGATGTTCGTGTCAGGCGGATGGCTCTTTTCTCAGCTTCGGAATATGCTTGGGGGCGGAGCTCAAGAAATTGAAATGTATTAGATGATATATACCTATACAAAAGGCATGACCTGAATGGTTTTGTAGTTATTATTAGGCAAATAATTTCTTTTATTTTAGGTTGCTTTGATTTTTGGCATAGCGAGACATATAGAAGTGATGAGCTATACCGAATAGAGAAAGATGAAATTGAAGATATGGGTAAACAATTATTTATCACTCTACCGACATGAGGACAAAAAAATTACGTGAATTTATTTTAACAGAACATTTGAACTTTAACAGAAAATATGAAGATTGTAGACCATCAGGGTGGTTATTTTAAAAAAAATACACTAATGGTGAGACCTACCAACAACGGCTTGTTGTAATGTACCTTGTGAACTTGTTACAAATTTTACTGTTATTTTTTATTTATACACAACTTTGTACCTTGTACCCATCTGTTTCTCCGACTTGTCATGAAAAAAATCTACACATAACATGATCAAAAAAAAATCAATCTTCTTCTTTAAGACGGTAAAAATCGCAATATCACTTCCACGATCGATACAAATTTTCAAAACAAATCCTTGAGAACCAAACCTAACCGAACCAGTAATATACCGGTTGTTCCCTTTTCGCGAATATAATAATCGCATATTAATTCCGGCTAATGCCGGATAGGCCGGCCGACAATAATCATCTCGAGATTTCCTCTAGAAGGACGTATGGCCGTGACGGGTCCCGATGACGTGTTTCGGGGGCGGCGAGGGCCTGCGTCGATTGTTTGTTTTAATAGTTGATTGGAGACACGCGACCGCCGTCGGCACGTGACCTTTAGCACGCTTTATTGTCGGCCGATTGCAATTAGAATGGTTTTAAAGCGGCCTACGGGCGATGAGGTGGAGCTGGAAGTTTACCAGTCACTCCGTTCGGAAGAGACGATACGAAAACTTGATTTGATTATTATTCGAGCATCAAAAATCATTAAACGTGTTCGAGTTCCCCATTTTTATTGATAATGATAAGCACTGCAGAAAAATCATTGATGGAAGCGGTGATGCGGTGATTCACGTTGAATGTGAATAATAATACTACGGATCGTAACACCGTCGGTAGCTTCATTACTACCGATGTAGCTATGATGTTAGCGAAACGCGCCTAGAATTAAAAAAATGTTTGTGAAAATTGTTAATTTCATGGAGAGTGTTATTAATTTTCATTAAGTAAATGGTCAGTTCATTCATAGTTTTTCTATTTCTCCGGCTTTAAATTTTTCCAACATTCAACTCGAAAATTCCAACTTCAAAACTCGGAACTTCCAACTTTCAAGATGGGACTAGACTTTTTTGACTTCACACTTAGACACGCTGTTTTTTATGTGTCAACTTCAAGCAAGGGATTGTACAGGGTTTTTTGATAAGGTGTTTCGAAATTGGCTTGTCAAAGAAATGAAAGATTGTCTTGCAGTGATTCCGTTCATGTTCAGACTCTGGAGTTATAGATGTAGTAAAGATGAGTTGAACAATTTTTTTTCGAAAATTCACAACTTGCACCTTTTCAATAGGAGATTATCTTTAATTTCTCCTTTGACATGGCAATTTCGAAACTCCTTATCAAAAGACCCGGTACATCTGGCCCCCCGTTGGGCGCCACAATAACAGCTGGTCGAAGGAAAAACAAATTCTGTGTTTCAACAGATTTGACAGTCCTATTTTTTTTATTGAAAATGTGGACAACAATTGGTATTGTATGAAATATTAATACATCGGTATTTTCAATCAGAACAAATGCAGCTCAAATAATTACTGTTAACATTTTCGGAAGTCAATGGAGTTGTAATTTCAAATGATGTTTGAAACATTTTTATTGTTAAACTCTTCAACGTAACATGTTGCCACAGCTGTCATTTCAATCTACTTGTCGTTGAATTTCACCGTAATGGTGGTAGACGTATGTCAAAACGCGTATCCCGTATATTTCTCCGGATCGTTCGATTCAAGATAACGCAAGGGATATGATCCTAATGTATGCACTTGATTAGTGCATTTTCCCTACCTATACCGTAAAAACTCCGTGTATACTTATATTTTGAAAACGCAATGATAAATACTGTTTTACCAAACGCACATAACTAATTGCATCATAATCATAATCCCTCATTAGGTCGAATAGTAATATGCAATACGCTCCCTTCTTACTTCTTGTCATATAAACGTAAATCACACAATTCAAATCTTCTACAAGACCCAAAGATACCGCAAATGACTACCACCTCTCAAAAAAAAAAATACGTGATGACCAGTACATATGTGAAGAACTTCCGCAAATCTATCCATTGAATGCAATTTCAAATGAATACCCCACATAGCTGATGCTAACAATAGGAATTATATTATTTTTCTTTCCCACTTGCTTTCATCATTTCGTTATATTCTCAACAAATATGTAAGAAATGACATGATTTTCGAGTGCTAGTTGCACTAGTTGATTGTGCAGAGTGCTGAATGTACATTCGAAGAGTTTGTTGCCTACAGACGCTGGTCGTGATTTACAGTTTGACCCATCACCAATATAATTAAATATCGACAGCCGTATCGCATTAATCGCTTCCTCCTCTCTTCCTTTACCCGCCGATCCTCGTTATCTGTCATCGCGTCGCTTTCTATCGAACGCGACCGACGACCGAAAACCCAACAACAATTTGTCGCGCATTGTTCGTTTGTTTGTGGGTGTGACGCAACAATGGGGACGAGCTGCCGGCGACGGAGCGCGTAATTGCACCCTTTGTGCGCCCGTCACCGCCACTCACACGCCTAATTTCACGATCATCGCGGCGGCCCGCTCTAGTCGCTGCCCCTGCGCCGAAATCTCTGACATCTAATCTTTAGTTCGCGGTATACGCGAAATCGCTCGCTTGCCCGTATGATTACCCGCTATCGAAGGTTTCTTTCCGGATACCTTACGGCGATCAGATAATTAATTTGTACGCCAGAGGCATCGATCAAGTCAACTACAAGGTTTGCCGAAGTACATAAGACACCACGAAGACACCATCTGGAGAAAATGGTTCATCTTTGATATTCGAGGATTGAGTTCTCCATCTTCATGAAGTGAGATGTCATCGCTTTTTTTACCTCAGGCTTGTCTCTTAAGGAGAGTTGAGTCCCGCAATGCATTTATGTTCAGCCTAGCACCACTGACTTATTGCGGGTCAAAACAACGCTGTCTGGCGATGAATCATTAATGTATTATGTTTGGGCTCCGGTTTTTAACTACTCGTAGTTGGCTTACAGTTAAAGCTGCAGAAGATGAATCTCGGCGGTCGGTATCGAAGCAAAAATGAATCACCCAAATCTCGATCGGTGCCCGGACTATCAAATTCCACGCCTCCGAAACAATTGCCCAATTACATTTGCATCATCTATCAATCGCACCAACAATTAGACATTGCATGGACACTGCGTTAAAACGTCAACGCCAGTATGGCCGCGTCGCACCATGCATGCCTCCTCAAGAGACAAAACGAAAGTAAAGCCCTGTTTGGCAAAATAACGCTTGAGAACTTGAGAACGCTGTTCCTGATCTCCTCGACCAACCCATTGAACGCGGACTATTTCAGAAGCAAGCCCTCGATGGAGGCCGAGAAGAAAAGGCAAATCGAAACGAAGTGCATGACGGTGATCCACCCGCTGAGCACGTTCCGCATCTGGTACGACATTTACGTGGTGATTCTCTACTTATGCAACTTGGTGTGCAAGCCTTTAGACGCGGCGTTCGCTTCCAAACAGCGCGAACTGTACTCCGGATACAGGATAGTTTCCATCACCTTGGACCTGCTCTGCTGGGTAGATATCCTGGTGAACTTCAACACCGGTTTCGTGGTTGCGAAGAGGAAGAAGATAGAGCTGCGGCGCCGCCTCATAGCGAAACACTACATGAGCAGTCCTTTCTTCGTGTGCGACGTTCTGTCTTCTTTACCGAGAAACCTGCCTTACTTATTCGTAGACAGGCCATTGAAGTGGATCCTGGGCATCATAAATATCTTCGGAATGTTGAAATTCGCCAGAATATTCACAGTGATCACGCTGATCAACAGGACAACCAGATATTTCCAGTTCAAGAATACGACGGGTCGGTTCTTGTTCAATTCTTTTATGGTCACCAGTATCCTGATCCACTGGGTGTCGTGCATGCAATTCATAGTGCCCCGACTCGTCGGAAGATATTTCACAGACCCGGACCGACCGGACGAGAGGAGTTGGATATATCAGGACGGGCTTTATAGGAGAAATTGGAAGTTCAAATACGCGCACTGTTTTTTCAAAGGTTCGTGAATAATATACAAGGTTTATCTAACAAATGATAGAGGAGGACACCTGCATTCATATAGAGCAGTAGTTCGTAAGCTGTATTTATGTTGACACAGCTAGCCCGACTTTCTAGTTGATGAGTTGTTATTAGCCGAAGTGTTACCTGTTTGGGATTCCAAATCCGGTTAAGCGTTATCGCCTCCTCTTTTCTGTTATAGTTTTATGTATGTTGAATTTGTTTCAGGATGTCGCCTAACTTAGGCCATCCTCAACATTCTTGGTACTTTTCAAGTGTTCTAAATGGTAAAATTGCAGCCGGCTGAGCTGCAATTTTACCAGTTTAATTTTTGTCATCATTGTTTACGTATGTTTTCATTTCTTATTAGGTTCATAGTTCCTAATCATAAACATTACAGGTTCCGCGGAAATGCTGGGAATCCGCCTGGACCTGTACCCCATTTCAATAACGTCGGACTACATCGTATCCACATTAACGTACTGGGCAGGAAAAATAATTATCTTCTCCATATGGATAGTCCTCGTCGTGGCCATGCTGCACGCGCGATCCATGGAACTAAAATTCTACGAGGTCATCAACCAGCTCGACGAGTACATGAAGCAGAAGCAGCTGCCGCTTAACCTACGCGACAAGATAACCAAATACTACGACTTTAGATTCCAAAGGCTCTTCTTCAAAGAGCAGATGATAACGAACCTGCTGTCAACGAACCTGAGACGAGAGGTGAACATTCACGTGTGCAAGTCGCTGATTGAGAGCGTCAGCTTCTTCGCCGATCTACCTTCCGACGAAATTAGTCGCCTGGTGGCCAGACTAATCTCAGAGATCTTCCTTCCGAATGACACGATCATACAATCGGGAACGTACAGCAACTCGATGTACTTCATCTCCAGCGGTACCGTGGCCGTGTATTCGCATTCGGGGAAGGAGATTTGCCACCTGCAGGACGGCGCTTACTTCGGAGTGGTCACCATGGTGGTGAAGAACCAGAAGTCGATATCGACGATCGTCGCCTTAGAGACGACTAAGGTCTACAGGCTGAAGAGGAGGGATTTCGAGCGGTGTCTGATGAAGAACAAAGCCGTTTTCAACAAGCTGGTTTCTGAAGCCGAGGTTTGGCTCAAAACTGTACTCAGGATTGAAGACGATTATAAAAAGAAACTGTTCCAGCAAAACTACGCGACCGGAGCGAACGAGAAAAACGAGATCGGAGCGAACGAGAAAAACGAGATCGGAGCGAACGAGAAAAACGAGATCGACAATTCAAAATTCGAAACGATCGCCTTGATGAACTAGATGGATATGAAAAATTATGCGATCTCGCGCCTGATCGGTGTTGTTTCCTTTTTTGGAAGTGTGATATTTTTGTATTTTTTTTTGTATATTCATCGAGACGTATTTTATTTTTTGATTTATTTTGCCTACGTATTCGAGTTATTGTTAGTTGAATATATTTTTTACTGTAAATAAAAGTTTTATAACAATCGACCAATTTGACTACGAAATATATCGAATCTTTAGTAAAAAATGATTCCACTGCTTCATGAACCTATAGTTTCATTATGAGGAACATAGCATCAATATCATTATCAATGATCATTAAATTATTAAAAAATTATCATTATCGTCCATCAAATTTGAAATATTTGTAACATTTTCAAGTAGATTTCCGAAAAGTTCGATTCTAAAAACGATGCATACATCAAATTAATCTTGTTACTAAACTCCAGTAACCAAATTAGAGACAAACTAAGCACAACAAAGTCAATCGATATATAAGGGTTTTACAGTTATTCACTGAAATTTGCAAAACTATTGACATTAACAAGTTTATATATTTCAGAAACTTTTATACCACAAATGCAAATATTGATTCGTTCAACACAAGACAAAAATATGTTTTTCGTATTGCACCTGACAGATTTAACTTAACTTGCAGATCAGCCGATTAAATAAAACTATAAATATATGAGGTGTCCAGGAAAAGAAATATTGCAAGCGACCTGGCAACGCTGTAGTTGGACCAAGAGGCAAAATGAGGAGTAGCACACGACGAGCTCTCCTCGACGAAAAAAAGCTAGAATAATCAAATCAAAGATCGAATCAATGCTGACTTGTTTTATTGACAGAAGAATTTGTCCCTCGAAATGCATTCCCGTAGTTTCTCATACCCCCACATTCACCTGATCTTAGTCCCTGTGAGTTTTACTTTTTTCCTAAACTGAAAAATGTCCCCTTGGCTGTCCAACGGAACTATTTTGGAGAGATAACATCAATGTTTGAGAAAAATAAAAACTTTGGTGAATAACACCTCGTATAATACTTTAACTAGCTTCAATAAAAGTATACCGCACGAAAAAATCATTCAAGGGAGAATTGAAAGTATTCCTCATTGAGAAAATCCTTTGATTGTTAGTGTAGTCTTAGTCTACGGTGTAATCTACAGTCTTAATGGTAGTGGTTTATGTTTTATATAAATGACTATCCTTATGCACCTATTAATTCAGAAATAAAAATAAACCGCGAAATTTCAAGAGAGCTGATATTGTAATCCCTACTGCAGTCTACTAAAATGATTAATATAATCAAACTTACCCCCTCTGCCATGATTTGGTGGTGGTACATTGCCGTATTGTCCCTGAGGTTTTGGGGTATAGTGATTTATTGTTCTGTGGCCAGATATGTCCAAATGTGCCCTGAAAAAGAAAAAAATAAATTAACCATTTTCGCGATACCGGTAATGTTTACGATTAGGAACTATGAAAAGCTTCAACTTTTGAAAAGTCTGGAAACAACTCCATGTTTGATTCAAATTCGAAGTTTCTCATTATTTCATCAAAACAATCATGAAAACATCTCAACGTAGAAGTTGCCCTTTTTATGAGAAAAAAACAAAATGAATAATCTAATTCCAAAACACGTAAGGTGCCAAATCATTAAATCTTATCCAAAGGCCCCACGTTGGGAGCCAAATCATAAATTCCAAGTAATCATTTCTAAATAATATTTTCAGTAGGATAATTGTGACATTACCACTAACCTTTGTGTAGAAGGCGCCATTCCTATCTGTGGTCTCCAATTCCGTTGTTGTTGAGGATTCAGGTCGGAAGGTTTCAAAACTTTAGGGGGATCTTTGGCTCCTTTTAGTTTGACAGCTTGGAAAATGTAACCTCGCTTATATGCGGGATCTCTGAATCTTACACAGCACACCACGTTATCTTCCAGGGGTGCCAAGTCGCTCACTGGAGAATTCAAGATTCTAAAAATTAAATAAAATTTACAGTTATATTATACTGTCCTCTGATCTATCAACCTCAACAAAGACACTTACCCTCCAATTCGGACACAAATTTCTGAAACTAGCACCGTTCCCCTCATACCGTCAATCGAAACTGCACACTCGGCATTCTTATCCACCTTCTGAGTATATAAATTGGTCAACACGTCATAACCAGAATTCTTCTTTGAGACATAGAGTTTGTCGTCTCCTCTCATGTTACGTTTGATTTCTTCCGGTGACAACTTCTTGTAATACGGTTCCAGAGCTTTGAAAAGTCTTTTTTCGTCTACGAACGGAAGGAGGGCTACGCCTTGCCACGCGAATTTTTTGCCGTTCAAGTCTATTTTGAAGTCTTCCGGGTAAAAATCGATAATTGGAGAGTCCTAAAAATGTATAAATATTTTTAATAGTTCAAATTTGCCGCAATGAGTCATGCCATTAGGAACAATTATTATGTTTTTGGGAAAGAAAGTTTTTGGCTTTCTACTACTCCATCTTGATACAAAAAAAAAGGATGAGGGAATCTACCAAAGAAAGGAAGGAATTAATCAATTTGAAAATAAGTAACTCTATCTATACACGGATGTGTAGATCATGCAAATAAGTATCTTTCAGACACAAACTGAAAGAAAGTCCTCCTGAAACAGCTACTTTTATATAATCATTGAATTACACTAAAGAAAAAATCTTTCGAAACTAATAGACAGCCAAAAACTTTCCCAAAAATTAATCACTCCTAAAAATATAACCCCTTCAATTCAATTAGTATGTTGTTCATTAAAACTAATTTCGATATCAACCCTATGCAAGGTTATGGTGGAAATTCACCAAAGCTTATTGTTTCAAATGTTACAATTAAATACAAGATATAATAGATGTGAATTTTGAAAAAGTTATTTATAATGATGAAAAACTCTATATTTCCTGATACCCTACTATTGTGAAACTATCATGATTTTTTTTTTTATTTTGTGACTATACAGACACTATCTCAACAATTTATTTGTAGATTGTAGATTGACTAGTCTAATAAGTTATATATGTGTTGTGAATGTATGATGCCTTATATAATTTTTGATTGATGAATAAATTCTATTATTTTTAATATGTGTCGAGGAGAGATACATACATACAAGAAAATAAGTAAAGTAGTAAACAATTTTCAAATCATCAGCAATACAGAGTTTTTCTAAATCAAATTCCTCAAAAATATTAGAAAAAGCAGTGGACCAATGTTAGAATATCTGTGGGACTCCAGAGCAAACTAACTTAATATAAAAATGAAATCTCCTATAAAAAACATACTTATTGTTTTCTATCAAGTATGACTGAATTAAGATTATGGAATTATCAGTGAAAACTACAGCACACAATTTATTTTGCCAAAAGGGTTTTTGGTTTTAAATCTGAAACATCATTATTTGACTTACCGGATCTGACATCAATTCCGCCCATGGACCTGGCACATGTTTGCTACTAGCTGCAGGAAACACTCCCATGAGTTGTTCTAAAGGTCGGAACTAAAAAAAAAACAAAAACATAAGTGTCATTTATAGAATCAGTTAAAGTGAAAGAATCAGACATAAAATTGATTGAATAGCATTTTTGTATAAATTATACTCACTGGTTTAGTGTCCATTTCGAATTCTGTACTTAGGCCTGCAATATTACAGAAATCAGAAGCGAAAGGTGCATAATGATATGGAAAATACCATTTCCACGATGCACATCCTTGGTAGTAATACCTCAACACCCAACATAATCCTCTGACGTAATGCAAAGCCACGGAATGTCTGAAAAACAAAATAATTAAATTAAATTACATACAAATTCATGAAATTATTATTGTGCAATACTTTCATCGGAAGTTCAAACATAAAAATCTCCATCTGTATCATGAATCTAATAGCCATTTTTAGATAAGTAAAATGAACTTGACCAATGAAAGAAAAAAGAAAGAAGTTTTCAAATATAGTACAAAAAATGTCTCTACAAAATACATCTGGATAGATCGGCAAAGTAATCAGCTCACTAATTCAGTTCTAAGATTAACCTGAATTAAATTTTAGTAGACATATTAAAAATACTTGAATTAAAATGGGTATATGTTTAGGAGAGACAAATTTTTGGAAAAGAAAAAATTTGGCCTTCTACTTTTCTATCTTTATGAAAAAGAAATATGGGAATCTAAAACAATTACTGTTGTTATAAACATTGAATTGAAGGAAAAAAATTAGAATAAGCAAAACTGACCTGAATTCCATCTGATCAGGGCCGACATCAAATTTCGACTCATAATAACGATCCTTGAAACCATCTTCCCACAATCTAACTTCATCATGAACCTCTTCCTCGTCTAAATCGTCCTCCAACTTCCTCTTCCTGGTATCAGAGGCATCTTGTTCAGAACCTGCTGGTCTAAACATGGCTTCCAATGCGTTTTTCGCGTTAGTTGTCTGTAGCTTCACTTCTGCTTGCGAGTGCATTCCTGCCCTACGAATATTGTAGGCCTCTTGCCTGGCATTCGTGACGGTTCTCTGCTGTCCGATTGCTTGAGGCGCAAACTGAGTGTCTTGTACAAGATTCCAATTGGGTCTGTGGGCATTGAAGCTATCCGTACGTCGCTTCTTTGCCTTTTCTCTCGCCTTGAATTGAATCTCTTTCTGTTGCCTCGTCTTGAAAATTTCATCTTCAGCTTTTCCCAATTCCAACATGATGAGTTGAACTCTCTCCAAGTTAACTTCACCGCTGTTTGTCAGGTATCCCTTCAAGAATAATAGAAATTAGATTTTTGATAATGTTGATGTTTTTGTTCATTTTAGCTTCATTTACAAATGTATGTATATATCATCATCATTGTAATAACCATTGGTGTTTGAGCAAAATATTATAGAAGTTTTGGAGAAAAAAGATTTTCCCAAGGTAGTTGATCATGTGGATCTAGACATATCATTGTATAAGATGAGAGTATATAGTTTCATAGATCTGTCTATATCATGGTTTGAAAGCTTTATGACTGACCGATCTCAGCAAGTTAGGGTCGGAAATGCTAGGTCAACTATCATTCATATAACGTCAGGAATACCTCAAGGGTCTCATTGTACCCCTCGTAGGTTCAACGTCTTTGTTAATGACATTACAAAAAAGAGAATGCTAACCTTATATTTATATACAAATTAATTAATGGCCTTATTACATGCTCGGAACTGCTTGAGATGATTCATTTACAAAGAGAACTCTCAGAGAATACACTCTCTTACTGATCCATCACTAAGAATGATCAATGAAAAAACCTACATCTTGAGCTCACAGGTATAATCAAATGTTTTCTTGAGAATATATTATACAGAAAATTCTTAATGTATTCACTTATTAATTATATGTATCATAATATCCTCACCATTCATCTCCGTAATGTGAATTGTATAGTCTATAATATATGTTTTTCTCTTATGAAAAAAATGCAACACCCTGTACAAGTGAAACTGTTTTCAAAATGTGACCTTTCTGGTGCCATACAACTTCTATATATGACTCATAAAACATCACTAACAATATATAGAGCAAATAAAATACACAGAATCCCAAAAAACTTACCCCAGTTTTATAAACGCAGTCCTTATAGAGCCCCACTAATCGATCTATGGCGCCTTCTCTGATTTCCAAACTGGGTAGATGTGGTAGGAAATCATTGCCGACAAAGAAGCACATGAACACCCAGTCATCTATGACCCTCTCAAACTCATATTTGAAAGGCAGATTTGGCATCTGAAGTTCCTTCTCGAGGTATTCCTTTAGGACATTCAACCTGACAAATATGTATTCCACCTCAGAGCTCAAAGAATGATCTGGAACAACCTCTTCAATTCTGCATGCCCCTGTACAATCTTTCATTTCATGTCCTGTGAAAGAATAAATATTGAAATGATGCTATTGATTATGTATACAGCTAGATACAAATATCTACTTAAATACATTAAATTAATACAATCTCGTAGATGTAGTTATTGACGAGGTAGCTGGAATGTCATAGGAAACTCTTTAGTTACTTTGCCAAGCTCTAGGAATCTTTCAATTCCTTCCTCAGGACAACTAAAAGGATGGTATAGATAAAAATATAAACATTATGGATTCTACTTACTTAACATAATAATGATTTTGAAATTTGCATCAGGTAATATGTGTCATGCTGAATAAGTGGAATCCACAACTTTTATATTTTTAAATTGAAGGACTTATAATGTTAGGAGTGACTAAAGAAAGTTTTTGGCTTTCTACCACCATTTTAGTTGTCCTGAGGAATGAAAAGTTCCAAAAGCTTGGCAAAATAAACAGTCTTTTAGAGACGGTTGGCTACTACCTGAATAACAACATCGACCAAATTGTTTATACATATAAACATAAATGTATATCAATACTAACCCAATTGTCCACAAAGTTCACACGGCCTTGGCTGGTTTGGTTTGAATTCCTCTCGAATAATCGTGAAATTTGGTTCATGCGTCGCCAATCCCAACATAATCAGATCCGCATCTGCACCACACAAGCAATGCTGAGTATTGGGATCATGGTCCGGTTGAGCTCTTTGTTTGCGAATGTAGTCCATAATTTTATGTTCGCCCTCTCCAGGAACATTTGCATCTGACAAGATAACTTTGATACCTTGCCACCCTGGATCATTGTTCAGCCTCTCGTGAATGTAATAATGCAAGCAATCGGATAATCTCGCCATGAAAGGGGTACCTAAGAGAAAAATTATTAGATATTATTAATTAAAGATAAGAGTAAAAGAAAATAAAAGTTGTGTCTTGCGAAATGTGGTTCCAGAATTAACAAATAAACATAAGTAAAGTACATAATGATATAGACATTAAGTTGGATGACAAGCTCATAGAAAACCCAGAAACTATCTTTTAAAGATTTTGGTGTGGACTGCTTCTTGGGTGGACCTACCTCAGTACCATGAAAATGGTATACTGATGCGCATAGCGAGTTGTTAAAGCAGAGAGTCATGTAAAACACTTGAAATTGAAATAAGTTAATTGAATTCTTCCATTAACTCATTTGTTATGTTGGAATTGATTTCATATAAGATTATAAGTTTGTCTTTCCCTTTTGAATGTTTAGTAACATTCTCTATACTTTTTTTTTTCTGACTGGGAATGTAGTATTAATATTTACCTGGTGTAATACAGTTAGAATCAAAATGTTCCTCCTTTGGCTTTTCCGGTGGCAGGATAGCTCCTTTAAGTAAAAGCTCTGCTCGAATTCTCTTCATTTCCTGTATTTTTTCCTGAGTTTCTTTTGAGGCTCTGAATCGCCTAGAACGCTGTTGGTTCATTTTAGCTCGTGGAGCTACTCCGTCAATGGCCATATATAAAACTTTTCTTGGTCTGACAATACTGAACATCCGGTCTATGCATTCAAATATAGCAATCATCATTTCGTCCTCGTTTTTCGGTGCTGGTTTGTTTTCAGGATGGGTACAAGGATGTATTATCCCGTTCATGTCCAGGTATAAGTTATCGAATTCAACTCCATTAGGATTTGGATTTGCCGTATTGATTGGTATACGAACGCCGTTAACATCAACGGGCTGAAAATATTGAAATATTAGATAGAATAGTCACAATAATATTTATTTTTGTACAAAATATACAAGCTGTGAACACTAAAAAAAAATATATAAACTTACTTTATCTTCAGCACAAGGAGTAATCACAGAGGGATATTTTCTGCTCAACCATCGAAAGAACGCTGGAACACCCATTGTGGATTTAAATACCTTCACTGGTTGCCGAAATAGTTAACCTATTATTTTCAGATAAGTCCCCCAATTTCTCTCTATAGTTCAATAAACAAACTACAAAATTAAACAGACCCTAAAAATAAATAGAACAGTGGTAACGTCAACGTCACGTTACACCAGTTATTATGACAATATGTCACTAACACAAACGTTTTATATCAAAGAGTACCTAAGTTGGTTAGTCGTCAGTCGGTTCCTCTTCTTCTTCTTCTTCTCTATATTAGAAGCACAGTATAATTACCTGTTTGAGGTATGGGAAAATTTTCCTATTTGGGAAATTATGCACACTCGGTTAGCACGAGCAAGAAAAAACTAGAAAGTGGCAATTATCAATTATAAGTTGAACTCCTTACTTTCCAATGGGCATTATAATGCAAAAAAATTAACAAAGTGACGAGTAAGAGTTGGCAAACTTTTAACTTTCTTATTTCTTACTTTAATTAACAACTGCGTTGTTGTGATCTGCACAGATTACAGATCATAATAACTGTTGTGATCTGTGCTCTAATTATGCCAAACTTTTCACTAGGGCGAAAAAGATTGCTATTTCAGAACACAGACAGTGGAAATTAAAAATGAGGGCTAACCTAACCGAATAATTTTCAAATATCAAAACATTGTATTCTGTGTGTTTAGTTTAGTTTATTGTTTCTCAAATATTTTTTTCTATAATCGCTGAAATGGAAATTTATGATGCTGTGTTGAAAAATTCACTATGATAGATATACAATAGTCGAAATTACAGAGTTTTTAAACCCTTGGATACTACTTTATTGTAACTTTTTAATTGAGAGTGCATAAATGCTGTCGTATTTGATACTTCCTGTTTGTTAATTGGAACTTGCTACCTGCTAATTGAGTTGGCTCAAATTCACCTTAAGTGTTCAGATTAGAAATCGATGAAACTATTGCTGCAAGATAACGGTGCAAACCTATAGGGTGATATTTTGTATTTGAATTCTACCAAATATTACTTGACAGGTATAATTAGAACCTCTAGCGTGAACAGGAAAAAATTCGGTCTTATCAAATTAGCATCATCAAGACATGACTCAGTTTTTATCATCACCTAATAAGTCAGGAGACAGTATTTTTTACTGTGTGACAAGTGTGTTCTGAGCCACATGGCGTAACTTTACACACCCACCAATGCTAATATTTTACCGAAGTCTAATTTAGTTTCTGCTTTGGAAACAACAACTCGAACATCAACTCAGACACTTCGGCCATTAAGGCATCGCCTTTGATATTGTCTACCGCAGTAATAGACAGAACGTCAGGTATTAAAACCTGCAAACCACGGTCAAAAAACCCGGAAAGTACCTTTGACTAGTTATCTCCGACCGTGAAAGTTTACTTTCTTTGATCAAACTATATATAATAATAGTGAAAAATAGTCTATTGTAATATTTCACCTCATATGAATGATTTATGGAGATATTATTACCTGTTCCTTTACCTTTTATTGTAACCACTTTCATACTTTCATTTGAGTCTCAGGTAATAAACAATTATGGCTGGTTCCTACACCAAACTTCTACTTATCACAATGTAAATCAATGTGACTTGATACATACATAATATTTAAATTCCAAACTGAAGTTGAATATAGTTATTTATTATACAAGTGAAAAAATTATTAGATTTTAGTTCGAGGTTGTGTTATCGACAAAAAACCGAGAGCTGAAATCTAATATTTTTCCCGTGTATAATAGACAATTTTTTCTGTGACGGGAAAAACGACGATTTAATATTGAAAAATTAAATTTAAATTTCAAATGTCTCATTGATATTTGTAGATACAAATGTAGATATAGTCGTATTTGTCAGTTCCAACCCTGATCTTTGCATGAACACACTTTCTAATACATAATTACAACAAAGACTCACTAAACAATATCTTTTGAGTTTGTTATATTAGTCATTATGAAGAATTGTCTTTTACATATTTGTAAAAGAATATTACCAAAGATGGATGTACCAAGAATATTTGAATGTATATGACTACCTCAAAGCAATTGAATATGACTACTATTAGTTTCTTATTTTTCTCCGAATTATGACGTAATGAGTTGTGTTCCGCTTGAGGTGGATGGTGTCTCTATGGTTTTGAAATTTAAAAAATCCGATCCAAACAGGATAAAATAATCGAAAGGCAACTTTCATTCTATTTATTAGAGGATATAATAATGTTATGTCTTGAATGAGTATATTTATTAGCAAAATATGTTTTTTCGATAATTAAAAATTAGATCTCTTTGGATCTGGACTCATCTGTGTGTTAACAGATTGTCATTTGTGAAACTTCTTCAATACCTCTATTTTGGAAAATGATCGTTTGAATCAGCAACACAACAACCAATGAATTTTTCTAAAATTCGCCGTCACACCTTATTCAGCGAATAGGAATGGAGGGGGAAATTTTAAATAAGTTTCTCTCTCTTTTCTGCACTTGCAAGCTGTTGAGAGACTTGCATCATGTTTCTTGGGCGTATGTAATAAGTAATAAGGTTATTATTATCGATTTGATTTGAGGAGCATTCGCGAGTAACTGTGTCCTGTCTCTAAATCCTCAATTGGATACAGGAAGTACTCAATTTATATTAAAGACTGCAATTTGCTCACTAAAGCACAGCCATGGACGACAAGATAGAAGCAAAGCCTACTTATAAGGCAATACCAGAGAAAGACATGGAAGGTATGCACTTTTTTCAAATTAACATGGCATCAATTACCCGTTATATAAAAAACTAAATATTTGTACATTTATAGAGGAGGCCGTTTCTCGACCTAAATTACTGACTAAACTGTTGTCCAGCGGAGAATCTGATGGGGCAGATGAGAAGATGCTCCCCGATGAAAAGGTGTCCCATAAATCCGATATCAGTTTGAAAGATGTGAAGATTTCAAATGAGAAAAATGGGGATGCGAAACTTGATATCGGTGAGTTATTTTTGGGATTTCCTTCCTCAGAAAGGATGATTCCAATTTTATTTAGTTTTCAAAAAAGCAATAGCTTTGAAACAGGTAGCATTGATCTAATATAGTAGGTACAATATAAGTCATTTAAGTGTTACATATTGATGCAGTGGTAGACAATATATCAAAATATAAAACCCCAAAAAGAAAACTTATTACAATGTTAGAAAAATACATAGTAATACTTATATGTAGTAGCATCAATCGTGCAAGGCATTTTTTACCTACATGAATTTGATATAAAATTTAAATTTGAGTGGTTTATTTTGGTAATAATGTAAGTGGATTGGAAAATGAAATGGAAAGTGATCTAAGTTTCATTTTATTGCTGCAAAAATTTTAATTATTTGAGTTTAATCTTCAAAAAATCTGATTATATATATATAGGAATACAAAATGGAATTAAAGTTGGTGAAAATTCACTATCCACTGCAATAATAATATATAGTAACCTGTTGAAGATCATGAAAACTGTTTCGAAGTATTTCACCATTATTAAAGTGAAGTTATCCATATCCACACTTAGGTAATTCTCCATCAGTCTGCATGTTGATTGATAATCCTTTAGGTATAATTTCATTGTGACATATCAATCGTTTTTTCAAAAAACCCTAATGACTTGATGAACAATAGTGTTTTGTCGCAATGATACTGAAACTCAGTGCCAACAACTTTTTCATTAAGATACAATTATTTTGCTGTTCAATGAACTGTGACCGAATTTTGAGGTTGTTTTTTCTGAATTGTGACCTTGAATGTACAAACATACATATTCAATTATACGGGGCGGAGCTACAGCTCCAGGCGCCAAAATCATAAATGCAAGTACGTAAATGAAGTACAAAAAGTAACTGTTAGATACAGAGTCTTTAATATAATGCAGCAATCTATTTTATTCAGCAAAACCTTCAAACTTCAGTGATGACGTAGAGCTAGACTACCTGCATCTATAAAAATATACATTTCACTCTTCTGATAGGATAATGTTGAATGTCTCTGACATTAATCTTGGTTTTTTGTTGGGGACGCAACATTTTGAAAACGAATATCATTGCTGTAAACTAGAGCCTCTCGTGTACACTCAACCACTGTAATATATCTATCACAGTGGACAGGTAGAATAATCCTTATTCGACGATTTTGTAGTTTTTGGAGTTCTGAGATTTTTTGAACATCAAAATAATGCAATAGGCTAACACAATAGTCATGATAGTAAGTTCAAATTGTTCAAGACAAAAAGAAATAATAGACGTTTCTGGAGTGATTCACCTATTTTTAACTAGTTGGCTATGATTTCTAATGCTCTTCTAAAATCAAAATATTCTCATGTAATATACAAGCTTTAATTTCCAAGAAGATGAGGTTTCAATAAATTGAGTTGAATATTTGGAACTAGTTTTATTCATTTTTGTTCAAACAATTAAACGTTATTTTTTTAAGGCGAACCTATGCTATCTTTTGGCGGCATGAACAAAGAGGAACTGATGAAGTATGCTAACGATCCATTCTGGGTACGTCTGCGATGGTTCCTTTTTATTGGATTTTGGCTTCTTTGGGCAGCAATGTTGGTGGGAGCTATACTGATAATCTATGCCGCACCCAAATGTGATCCACCACCACCAAGAACTTGGTAAGCAAATTATTTACACAGCATTCTGCGTGAAATGAATGACAAATAATTTTGGAAAAAGCTTCTATTCCTGAAATGAGAATTCAAAATATGGTTTTCAAGGAGATGAATTCACTTTGTGGTATTTTTTTTGTAATTGATATGGGGAATGTTCCTCCTGATGAAAATCAAGTAGTTTTCATAAAAGAGCTCTAAAACAACACATTTTAAACTTATCATTTCAACACTTTGCTTTAAAAAATTATTTGAATACTTGAAAAAGAGGAATGAAATAATGCATTCAACATTTAAAGGGATTGTTTCTATTTCACCATTTGGCAACATCGGTTATAGCTAATAAAGGACAATGAATCTGTTACCTGTATGAGACAAACAAAGATGACATATTTCAGAGGCGTGCTGTTCTGTTTACTTATGTTCCGAGTCATTCTGTGACATATGACATTTTGTGCACCTAACCTATCTTCCTCTATATAAATAAATAACAAAACAACTGTTATTTATGTGGCTTGTGGAGGTGGTATTGAACTATAATTTATATTTTGCTTTGTTTGTAAATTTATAAAGATAATTTTCTTTTTTTAAAGTAGAATATCTAGGTACGTATAAATTATTTCAACTTGATATAGGCGCTGTTGCCAATATGTGAATTAGAAACAAATCCCTTTAAAAATTAAAACGCAACATTTGAAACATCAATTTGAATACTTTTCGAAGTGAATTAGAAAAACTCATTAATCAAACTCAACTTTATTTTGTTCAAACTTGCATTTGCTGTAATAACCCAAATTGAGGAACATTCCCCATTGAGTAGTTGTGATTCATAGCTTCTAATTTATTGCAATAGGTGGCAGGAGGGACCACTGGCTTTAGTGTCTCCAGATACCAACCCAGAACAACTGAAAACTTTGGATAAAAATATAAAAGGTAAAGTATAATTATGATTCAACTTTTGGACTACTAGTTGGTGAAATTTGTTTTACATAAAAATAAAATTCTATATTGCATAAGTTTGGTCTTTTTAGGATTGATTGTTAGCTGGCAAGGAGATGCTTACAAAGAATTTGACGAATCTCATGACGTTATCAAAATACTCAATCAAGCAAAGGATTTGGGGAGGAGGACTATTATAGAGTTAGACCCTTCATCTTCTGAAGTTTGGTTTGAAGAAAGCGAAAACAAAAACATCTCTTACAAAGATTACTATATTTGGAGGGCTGCAAAAGGTACTGGGGACGGAACTCCTCAACCTCCCAATAACTGGGTAAGGGAAAAATAACGCTTTTTTTTTCTGTGCGAGAATTAGTTTCCTTGTAGGTTGACAAAAACGATAATTCTTCTTGGCACTACTCTGAAAAACGCCAGGAATATTACTACGCACCTCTGAATAAAAAAATTTTGAATTTCCGCAATGCCAGCGTCGTCGCAGAATTTTCTGCTGTCATCAATAAGTTCCTAGGTTTTGGTGCTTCTGGAATACGTCTCAGGAATGCACCTATTTTACTAGTTGACGAGAAATATGAAGACGAAACCCCTGATCAAAGCAACGCTGAACATTCCGCTATCAAGCAGTACGGCTTCTACTTACATTCCAAGACTGAAAACTTGCCGGAGCTGGGAGATCTTTTGAAGACTTGGAAAAAGGTTTGGAACCATCTGGTCTGTTTATGCAATACTTTATTGAAATGTTGGATTTTCTTTTTTGAAGATCGTGAGAAACAAGACTGTAGATGGCCCTCTGATGGTAGCAGACGAGTTGGTGAAAGTTCAGTCGTACCATGCCAAAGACAACCTTCTTGCCGTGGATCTTCCTGTCAAGACCCATTCCTTTGACAAGCGAAACGTCAGCGACATCGTCAATAACTTGAACTATACCTTCAATGTGGACAATGTTGAATGGCCGTTGTGGAAGGTAAGAAAATTTTGGACTTGGTGTCCCTCGAGGATTTGTTGTGGACCCTTCTTTTATTTCATTAATTCAATAACTTGATGTTTGTTAAACAAAATAATAGCTTTTTCAAACTTCCATACTAAGTTATGAAGCTGAATATAAAAGCATCTATTTTGTTTCAGATTAATTCCACATCACTTCCCTCTGATGTGGTAGATATAATTACTTACCTTCTTCCCGGTACGACTTTGGTAGGAGTAAACGCTACCATTGACCCCCAGCTTCTGAAAATTAGGGAGTCACCTTCAATCATGAGGGGAATTTGTAGCTTACACAGCATTCACAATAACACTGTGTTTGCTTTCATCAGGTAAGAAAGTCTAGGTAATTCTAGAATGATTGTTTGGTTTGTTGGAATTGCAATTTTGACAATATTTTGCTCGAGGCAGGTGTGAAAAATCGCGATTTTAGTAAAAATTTTCACTCTAAATGAAAAATAATTGCCCTTCCAATATTGCTATAATAACTTTATTTTCCATGCTCTCTATTGTGAAATAGGCAAAGGTAAGTCCAATTTGTTCATAGTAGACATGTGTCAACTCTGGAAAAACAACTCGTTTCAACTCGAATTGACCGTCACGTAACTATTGACCGAATGAAATCGAGTTTACGATTTGTTTTTACCAATATAATGACACAACTTCGTAACAATATTTAAGAAATTGTAATAGATTTGGCATAAATATGTATTGAGACAATTATTATTTAATGAAGTTGGTAGAATTTAAATTAAAAAGGAACTTGAGGTATGTGTCATGTATTTTTGAATTAAAATAAATCTTTGTAACATGAAGAGAGTCAATATTAATTAATTTAATTACAGAACTATTTATATGTAGTAGTCTTAATAAGATAATATCAGTTTTGTTGTATGATACTCCAAAAATAACGTCAAACCTGCAATATTACGACAGATTGGATGTCATTCGGTTCATGCCCTTTGGCGGGAGCATCTGAACTCAAGTCATAGATAATTCAACTCGAGTTTATTCGAGTTAAGCTCAAATCGAGTCGACACATCACTAAGTTTCAGAAATGTCATTCTGTGCCATCAGAGTTGAGTTTTTTCCTAATTCTCAGGGTGACGTCTGGAAATCCAGGTGTGTTGGTAGCCCTGAATACGGGAGATCAGAAAGTTGTAGTCAACTTCCAGACGGATGTGCCAGCTCTCTCAGAACTACAGAAAGTTACTATACAGCATTATAGTAGAAATTTCAATGAGCCAGATTATAAGAGCATCAAGTGAGTAGATCATTATGACTGTGTTTTTGGTTTAGAAAATAATGCTTGTTTTTGTTTTAGTGCAAAGGTGGATGCCACGGCGGTACCGATTTCTCCCAAATCGGTGATAGTTTTTTCGTATGTTCCAAAGAAGAATGAGTAAAGTGATTGAAACTGGACCATATATATGTCAAAAGCTCAACTTTGCGAATCAGTATTGTATTCATTTCTCGGAAATGAAATAAATGTATTGCATTTATCTTTTTTATTATTATTGTACATACTCGTGCATGGAATAAGTCAATAATTGAATCGCAATTTGCAGAAAGTGCTTATCCAAAATAGAGGAAAATGGTCGTAATATAAAAAAACAAGCGTAAAAGGGAGGCCTTATTAGAATATCAAGTTGCACTTGCAAGTCAAAACCTCTATCACAACTATAACATAAAACCAATTCCTATATAATCTAGATATGTTTACCAAATTAATAAACATGGATTGTAGGTGTGAGGATATTTATTCAATTCAGATACATATATTTGACTATAATGGATATTACATAATAATTACAGTAAATTAAAAAAAATTAAATACATAACTATAAATTGAATGGTGGTGTTCTTGAGAAACGTCTAAGCAAAGCTTGTGTTGGCATGTTTTCCTAGATCTGAACACAACCATAAATGTAAGTAAGAAAAAATAACTTTTTTTTTTTTAATAAGAAATAAGACTAAATATTTACCTACGTTGGCTTACTTGATAACAAGGGTGAAATGTTTTGAGGGAGCGAAGCGACCTAGTAATCACATACAAGCTGTAAAATCCCTGCGGGTCAAGAAATGTGATAAACACTATTGCATATTATGCAAGTTGAGATTCGTGTGAAATCTATGAGATGTCTCTCGCACGTCTCACACCAATTTTGACCCATTTGTACTATAGAGAATGTGTCATGGGTGTTTATATGTTGATACCACCCACCGTTATTCCAAAGTAAGTAAAACCACAAGCAGCACCAACAAAACTTTTGAATAACGCTATCGATTGTTCTGATTCGTACATGCGTATCTGTCACACAATACAGATCCATTTGATTTTCCAATGTGTAGGTAACAATGAGCCATCATAGGCTGATTATTAAGGCACCATCATCTTCAGATGAATCACCCACAATACTTTCATCATTCAGGTCGCCCTCATCATTTGCGATAACTCCTTTCCTGATCTTCTCGTGCTCTAAGACATCAGCATCTTCGTCGGCTTCAACATTGGCCTCCTCTCCAATGATCCTAACCTCATTTTCCACAATTTTCTCCATTCACCCCCATGTTGGATGTCTCTATCTGAAATATTATAATATAGTAAAAGTTGAAACTGGAACTCCTGGGGTAGAAAGCGTTTGTTTGTATTATAATACAGTATTGATTCATTCGAACATTATAATATTCTATTACCACGTGTATTTGGCAACATTATTTTCATAAGAAAAACTTATGCAACCATATTGACTATATTCATGATTGGCAGAATTGATATTATACATACGAACATTGTAATATTCTATTACCACGTGTATGTGGCAACATTATTTTCATAAGAAAAACTTATGCAACCATATTGACTATATTCATGATTGGCAGAATTGATATTATACATAAAGTGTTTTACTAGTTTGGTTGCGAAAAAAACTTAAAATTTCACTTCGTGGAAATCTGTGATATGTTATTTCACTATTCTTTGTGTTGTTACAAGTACTCGTCATAGGATGCACAATATACGAACCTCATGTACACAAGATATAGATGTTATATGTCCAGAACACAATATTTCATTATGTAAGCAGTGAAATCTGAAGTTTTTTTAACTACAAATAATAATTACACATTTCTTCTCGATACCATACATATTTAATCTGTATCTGTGTCAATACTATAGCTTTGTTTTGGTTCTGTATTTCGGACTGTTATTGAACCATCCCGTATCGACGCCGAATCAATGCAGAACAGTTCTCGAACGGTCCCAACAAGTAAAAAACCAAAACATATAAAAAAATTATTCTGACAAGTGTATAAACAAAGATGTGAGGTTAGGTACCTCTACTCTGGTATAACGATCATTGGACTTTTGAGTTAAGTTTAAAGACAAGAGTGAAAAAGTTAAGCAAATATATAATTAAAGTGTGATGATGTTTTTGAAAAAATGAGAGTAACAGGAATTAACTAAGACGTTATCTCCGGTTATCCAAAATTAAACTGAAAATATATTGTCCTCTCTTTGTAATCTTATACTAATTAATGAGTTTGACAAAAACATGCCAAATAAAAGATGTGATAATAATAATGATAATCATTATTATTGCTACATACATTTCACGACTATCTGTTATGGTATAAGAATAATGTTGATATATAATTTTGTCTTATTTACAGGTCGCAATGAACTCTCCGAGTTTCTTTGTTTTACCGGAGACGAACAGTATTGTAGATAAAATACCAAATGAAACACCAACTAAACCAAATAAAATACGGATAAAAATGAGATTAAGAAAACGTTACTACCAAAATCCACAACGCCAATGAAAAATTTTATTAGTGCGCAAGAGCAAATTCGAAGTTCTAAACGGTCTCTATTCAAATGTACGAACTAATAATTACCGTTCTGGAATAGTTCCGAATCAGTTCGGAGAAAACCAAAACACTTTGTGAACGATACTAGAACGGTTCTAACTGAACCAAAACACATTTTAATAACTGCGCATGATCGAACTGTACAGAATTGTGACCAAAACAAACCTTATAGGTTAGGTGAACCGAAACAAACCTTATAGCTTATAGCTTGTTTGAAGGTGATTGACAATGTCTCATGATGAATTTCACTAGTTCGGACTTCCATTGTCTACTATATAATCTCTAAACATCGGTCGTTTCGGTGACAGATAATCAACCAAACTTCAGGAAAAATTTACCAGTTTTTCAGGAATATGACATTTACGGGATACGAAATAACGAACCAAAGTAACCAAGTTGATTTACGGAACATATTCCATATACCTAAGCGCAAGAGGCCTTTTCGAGGTATATAGACTTGATTTCATTATGGTGTAAGACAGACGAGAAAATAAATACACTATGTTCAAATATTTTTTTTGGAAAGCTGGATATATGTCAAGGCAACTGGTTCATCAAATTGACGAAGAAGAAATAGGTATATAACCTAAATTCGTTGTTGATCAGAGTTCCAAGTTTGAAAACTAATTCAAAATGCCAATAATCAAAAAGATTGTGACAAAAGATATTGGTGCTAGACCAGTTCTGGGTATGTGTGAAATACTTTTTTTTCAGTAATTCTTTCACCTTCAATTTTTTTAGTCGAATTTCAGAATAATAAACTTCAAGCTGGTCAAGAAGCAACTTTGAATTCAGCAGTATATGAAACCCAAGATGGTTCTAAAGTGGTGGGCATTACAAGCGATAGGCTGCTATATACGGGAACTTTGTCAGAGGATGAGATGTATAACAATTTTATTTTGGTATACAACAAGAATAAAAATAAAGTGAGTAATGAATTTGAAAACGAGTATTTTTATGTTGTACAGTAGAAAATTCATGTCATGACAATTTTTACAGATTAGACTCATTCAAGCAGATCATTGTGTTGTTTCTTCAAGTAAGATTTCAAAGAAAGTCGTGCAAACTGAAGAAATATCATTGGACAAATCAATATCCGAATTGAACAGGCAATTTGGTTCTAAAAAGGCTAGAAGGGTCACTGAACAGAGGCAACGACTTCCAACAAACAGTGATGAAATAAAAGAAGAACTAGAAAAAACAGTAACGGGTAAGTTATATGAGTTGATCATTTCTTAGAGAAGTTCTGAATATGGTATCTTCATATCTGCTTGAAATGACGGTGATGATTCCCTTGAATAACATCCAAAAACCACTGAACTCAACTAGTCAAGCTCAGTGCCTAAAACACATGTTCGAGGGGCCATTGTCGCAAGAGGGCGTACTGACACTGATACTGACATTTCTATGATATTTTATATTTGTTAATTTAACAAAGACTCTCTCAAAATTCATGTATTGTAGGTTTTGTTTTGACGGAAATTATTCAATATTGAAGAGATAATACTAGATTCCTTATTGAAATTCTCTCCTCTCGAAAAGAGATTAATTTCAGTGTCTCCAACGAATTGAGGGGATAAATGGTTTGTGTGAACTTTATAAAGCGGGTTAGTTTTGAAAAGAATACTTTTATGAGGTATTCGTTTTTAGGGGAAACATCTTTTTTTTGTAGTAATTTTTTTTCTTTGGATGTTTCCCGCATTTTTTTTTCAATGTTGGAAAATTAGAAAGCCATTACATTTCTGTAAAAGAATATCACAGTAGATAGACACATCCCTAGATGTTATATTTGAAATCTTTGCCTACTGTTACTATAGGCAATTATTAATGTTTTCCTTGAAATTGTAGTTCGATTTATTATTCCTAGATGTCACGCACTCCGCGGCCCTCCTAACACTGACGTCAGTATTATCAATGAGCTAATAAGTTTGGAAACCCAAGGATGATGTTTGTCTCTAGACGCTGAGTCTTAGTCAACAAACGAACAAACCCAAATAATGTCAAAATATTCAGCAATAATTTGTTTTTGATGTTTTTTATTTTGGTTAAAGTTAATTTTAACGTTTCGAAGTAAAAAGGTATCTGTCAACTTGAATACACGTACAATTTTCTCATATATAGAATGTTGAATAAGTGAGATTCCTTTCCTGAAGATATTTTTAATCAAATCAGAGTGATACGGTCTCCGAAACTTCCGGGCAATCGTAATCATGTCTATAGTGTCGGAAACTATAGACTACAGCCCTCTGTTGACATGGAAGCTACCACCTAAAAAATGCATAGATTTCAAAAACCTGGAATTGATTCCCATTGATACTAGTTCTGGTACATTACAACTCTTTCAAAATTGCACCATCCAAGGCCCACACATCCCAAATTCTACAAACACAGCTTGTCAGATCACTACTGATCAGCAACATCATATTCAACAACATGAACAGCAACAACATGAACCCCCACTTCAGATACACCATCAACAACACCATATTCAACATCCGCAACAAATGCAACATCAGTCACTTCAGCAGCATCAGCAACAACAACATCAGCAGCAGCAACAACAGCATCAGCAACTACAACAGCAACAGACTCAGTGTAATAGTGAACCTCAAATGAACACAGTTTCCTTAGAAACAACGGAAAAGGCCACTTCCAAAAAGGTTAAAGATAAAGTTCCTATTAAAAAGAAATTCAAAAGATTTCCTGTTGATGGAATGGCATATCATAGCCAGCAGCTGGGGCTCAAAGTACCTCCAAAAAAGGTAACTCAGTTTGGAAGCTAAATATTTGTTTTAACAGCTCGTGATAGTTTTCAAATTAGACTCATGTATTTTCTTGCACTAATCCTGAATCTCAATCAAAATTTGGCGTTCTGGTCTGCTTTTGGAGGCCGTGCAACAGCCAAAGAAACAACTATTTCAATCATTCATTTTTTGAAATAACTCGCAACATAAAAAGTTTTCTTTTCCTTGCCATTCTGGTGGCAATATTGCTAAATTAAAATAAACTTTTCAAATTTACTGGCTACCAAAAATAAAAGGGGTGTCATTTACGTGAGTGTAATTGAAAATTTTTCATAAACTAGCTCGAGCTGTTAATGAATATTTACTGTTTTTGGAAGTTTGACTTGCCAGTAATTAAACCTTTGTCAGACTTTAGGTATCAAAGGAATGATCATTCACAGTCAGGCACGTGAAGTGATCAACAATGTTTTCAAATTCATGAAGGAGGAGGCCCATAATGGGATCAAAATTCCCATAGCTAATTACAGGGAGAGGGTTTTATCTGCGACTGGTATATCCAAATGTACCTATTCCAAAATAACGACGAAAGAATTTCGACTGGGAGAACCTCAGCCATGCAGGAAGAGAAAAAGTAATTTATTCTTATTATGGTGTCAGACTAATTAGTATTTCTAGTAAACCCAAATCTAAAAAATTCATTACTGTGTACACAGTTTACTTCATCTCCTGAAACAAATTAACATAGACCATTAAAACAGTTTTCGAGAATCAGCTGAAGTATTACTTTCAGTCAAGTAATTATAAGGACCATAAAAAAATCAATTCACTTGATCTTCAAATTATTGAAATGTAGCTCCACATTGAATAGTGGCTCCAGCATTCAAATTTATGATACAAAACACAAAGATATCATCAGGCTACTGAAGATGCATTAGATAGATAGATAGATGTTTATTTTACTACATTATGTACAAAGATACATTATCGTTATCAAAACACAGCCAAACAAATGCAGTTTCTTTCTATAAAAATATATAACACTTTGCCTAGTGAGTGGAAAAACCTTCATATTAAAGAATTGAAGTTCTAAATAAAAAATTCACTTGTCAAACAAGGCTTCTATAAGATTGATGAGGTATTCAATTGTCAGTGGACCTAATATATGTACCTATATGTGTGTATATATGTGTATTTATATTGTGAGTCATAACTATTGTGAGATTTTTTATGTACTCTATGTATATTTTTTATACTTTCAGTATGACGTTCCTAAGCAAATTTTGTTATTGCAGATATTTTCTAATGTAACAGAAATTGTAATTTGAGGTCAATAAAATTTCTTAATTTCGGGCGATTGCCGCTTTTCGGTTGGAATATTCAATTTTTATTGTACTTTATTATTGTACTCCAAGCTATCGACATATAATACGGTCATATCAAAGTACTTATAATATTACAACTGAATATAAATGCGTCAGAAGTCTATTTTGAACTTTCTCTGAATTATTTTCATATATGATTTGATATTGATGCCATCCTGCATATCTGAAGAAATTAAAAATTTGATTCCTGAAGAGGCCATTGAAATAAAGTGAGAAACAATAGGCCCAAGGTTTGAACCTTGAGGCGCTCTTGATTTTGACTGGTAATCTATATTTCAAGGTACAGATTCCGAATAGTGTCATACCTGTTAGTTTCCTTAATCTGTTATTGTTCTGTTTATGTTGCTATGATATTGAAATATTTCTGTTTTTAAAAATTAAAATTCACAAGAAATATAATTATGTATCCCCATTAAAAAAAATATTCCACAGACGCTGCTTTGAAAACAATCTACATTTTTTTAAATAATTCAAAATTGAAATTCAATATTGAATTCATTTTATTTGTTACTAGAACAAACGATTGAATAACCTTTTGTATTGTAGGTCTGAAACTTGATGACAGTTTTTTGGACAAAACGGTTACAGAAAACGACAGTTTGTATAGGCCTAAAATCAATAGAGATGCTTCCACTCGTGATGGAGTTTACAATTTGGAAGATCTCGTACCAGGTTATATTTTGGATACGCTTGCGCCTGAAGCAGGACAAATTATGACCATGGGCACCGTTGATCCATTCAAGTAAATATATTACCTATTTATTACCTTCGAAGTTTTTCCATTTTTATTGAGAGCTTGGAGTTTCAATTGATTGATTTTTCAGTTTGAGCCCTTTCCCTGCATCCAGCATATCAAAAATTCTGATGGCTGACGCATCAGAAGAAATACAAGTTCGAAGCATAACCATCTTTTTGTATATACATTATCTAATTAAGTACATGATTACACCTATGAAGGCAGTAACAAAGAAATTTGTTGCTTGCGATAAATCAGCCGATGTAAATGCCCATATATTGGACAACTTTTCTGTCAACAGTCCACATGGAAGGTAAGCGTATGAATGTTAACATTTATCCTGTTTCTTAAACATATATTTTCTTACCAATTGGAATATTTTTTCTCATTGGATAGACATCCCAGAAGTCTACTAAAACAAAAATTAATTAGCCTTTGTTTTCAGAAATAACTTTTATTATTTTTCAATGTATTATCGTTCGTAAAAAAAGTTATAAGGGAATGAAATTTAAAAAATATGTCATTTAATGATTCCACCGATTCAGTTATAACTTAACGTTATAACTTTTTTAATCATAAACAGATTTCAATAAAGTTTTGGACAGTGATGAATCAAATCCTGCTGAACCATTTGAGTAGGCAGTCAGAATATTGATGAAAGTTCCTGAATTGAGTTGGTGGGATAATGGGGAATGTTCCTCAATTTGGGTTATTACAGCAAATGCAAGTTTGAACAAAATAAAGTTGAGTTTAATTCAAGAGTTTTTCAAATTCACTGCGAAAAGTATTCAAATTGATGTTTCAAATGTTGGAAGCTCTTTTATGAAAACTACTTGATTTTCGTCAGGAGGAACATTCCCCATTGATATAACTTTTTCAATGTACCTACATTGCATTTAGATGTATTTTCATCATCAACCATTTCAACGTCTCATTGATGTGCATAATAACATGAAATCATTGTTTTTTGAGAGTATCCATGTATATAACAAACTACCAAATGATACTAAATTCAATAAATCTCTTATATTTACATGTTCATTATGTGTAATTCATTTTCTTTGTTAGGTCTATTTTGTTATAAACAAAAGGGAATGTTACTTCAGCACTATTGTTACCTATTTAAATGAATCTATTTCAGTTATAACTACACGAATCCATTGACATGAACAGGTTTCTTTAAAAAAATGCTATATTTTTTAAATTGGAAGGTTGGCCTGGAAAACAAAAACTCTTTCATGAAATTTTGTATTCTAGTAGACTTCTCGAATGTCTCCCTGATAAAACGAAATCAATTGGTTGAAAAATATGTTTTTGTATACAGTTTCTGATCTGAACCTCTAGTGATTATTATTATTTCTAGGACACGCCCATTACACATCAAAGACAAAGCCCTCTGTTTCATATTAGTATTAGCTGCGATAGCATTGAACTATGAGGTGGACGTTCAGAGTCTTTCGAAAGATTTGAAGATCGGTGTCAAGAAGACTTTGGAAGTGTCGAGGATTCTTGCTTTCAATGCTTCGAGTAAAGACAAGAATGTCGTGCAGCTGAAATTGCCATTACCAGAACCCGTCAGTTTCAATCCAAAAAGGAAGCGAAAGACATTGTAAAGAGAGTTTTTTTATTATATGACCTACTTGTAGAATAAATATAAAATATATGAAAATATATTGAAATCAAAATTTCGTTATTAATGTATCTTAATAATGACCCATGATTCCTAAGAAATATGTGGTAGCGGGTAACAAATATTAGACAACCAAAATAAATTAAATAAAAGTCGGTAGAACCAGATAAAATCCAAAAGTATTTCTATTCACAATTTTTTTTTTATATATTCGGGTAGACCACTATCAATTTTTTATTCCAGTAAAGCATAATTAATTTTTATGTACTTTACGTTTTATTTAGGAAGAGTTTAAGCAAGAAAATATTGAAATATTTGTCTCAAATACCTACACAGTGAGTACTGGTAAATGCCTGCCGGAAAACAACTACTTCCCCGGCTAATACCACGCTGGATATTGAATTATATCAGACAGATATCTATGCAACATACCTCACAGGGGATAGTCTCGCAGATGTTAGATATTATTGTAGAAGAGATGTGTATGTAACATTTGGCTTTTGTATATTTACTAGGTTTTTAAGTGTTAAAACTAAACTAATAAAAACGCAACCTTCCTGAAATTTCAGGCAGTTCATTTTCCATTTTTTAATTCACGTATAAAAGTAAGTATTAAACTTATTATTCTGAGAAGTTTTGCCGGAAAGATCTTTAGAAAATAATTAAATCCATTTCTGGAAAGCTTTGCCAATCATTAAAGATCTTTTCCTTATTTCTTGTTCAGGATTATAACTGATTCACTTGAAGGGACTAGCTAGAAAACAATTGCACTCATTATTACAAACACTGAATTCGCTGGATAAACTACATCTAATTTTGATTAATATTTGTCATTTCTTAATATGTGGCTAATTGCAATCATGAATAATGATAAACAACCTCAGAAACAACTATGTGAAGTAGGGAAAATCACCTTTAATCAATTCAATTTCGAATTTATCAATTTTAGGGGCCATTGCTTATTGTTTTCTACTGGCCTTTGGCAAGAAACTGATGGTCAGCTTTCAGTACACTGGGCCTCACAGTGTTATTGTAATTACACTATATTCGTAGGAGTAATGCTTGGGCTTGTTTCTGTAATACAAATTTATCGGTGAGTCCCACATTTTTCAGTAATTCTAACTGAAGTATTTCGAATATGATTTTCTAATTCCAGGTTATCTATGTATTTATATAAAAACACAGATAGCAGCTTTCTTTCAGCATTTATAGATGTATTTACGGGAATACTTTTGTGTACATCTACAATAATCGCTGCTCTGATGATTACACTTGGCTTCAAGGCATGGTGTCAGACTATGACTGAAAGATTTCCTTCGTAAGTAGTTGAATGACATTCAGCATTCATTTCTCTTTTTTAAAATTCTCCTTCAAGATTAATAGAAATATAGATAATTTCACGAAGAAAGAAGTTTTAATGTTATATGCTTCAGTGGGGTTCTTCTACTAATTTTGTAAACCTACTGGATACAGTCATTTGACATGGGGTTTGTAGGTTTAAAAAGATGCGATTCGTTTTTATCTTTAGTAGCTTTTTAGCAGAATAACCCTGCAGAAATTTATTTTGAACAGCTTTCAAGCTGAAGGAGAAATTCAGTAAGTTGCAAGTGATACGATGATTTCATATACTGCTAATAGATGGTATCATTTTATTTCAAGTGTACAAATCCTGTCAGACAAGTGGAATTTTTTGCATATTTGATTAACCTATTTGAATATTCTTCTCTTTCTCTTAATAATGTATTTTGTTATAAATTTATACATGGATTCATTCATTGTATTATGTTTTGATATAGTATTTACTTAATAATCATTTATTGTAGAATTATAACTTTGTATTGTGAATATTACGATTAAGCCTATTCAATAAAGACTACTTACTTACTTACTTTCATAACGTTGAAAGCATGAATCAACTTCATTAACACCCCCATCTTCAAGGCTTTCACAAAAAACTAATTAAACCGTCTACAACTATGTATGTGAGAAAGCTATAATATAATGTTGTTTTTTTAGGTGCGATCTTGCTGCAGGACAGGACATAGACCTCGCCGACAAAATAAACACAACCAATTTTTACATGCAGCTAGGAACTGCACAGTTCGGCATATGGGGCTCTTTCACCACTTGGGTAGGTCTGTCTGTGTGCGCTCTGCTGAAACTGTGCAGGTATCACCAACTGGAAAACATCAGGGTGTCCATGTACAGAGAACGGCAGCGGCTTTTGAATGAAAACGCAGATTCACCGGGAAGTAGTCTGGGAAGAGATTCGAATACCAGTCAGGTGACTGCTACAGTTGAGTGATTTGTCCGTAGTGTACTGAGGTATCCCTATTTAGTTATATGCGCCATTATTCATATCTCTCTATTGCTGCATCAAGTTATTTTTCAGTATAGAAGTGTTAATTGATGTTATTATTGTGATTTATTTAACAGAAATATACTTTATCCCATCGTAGATGATTGAGTGAAAACATTTTTACAAAACTGTTATGTTTTGTTTTCTGACTACCTACAAACCTTTAAACAATAAATTTGACTAACATCAATAAAATTGATCATCATAAAAATGATGAAAAAGTTGAAGTCGGCTCTCACAGAGATTCAAAGAGATTACATTCACTAGACCCATTTCACCATTGAAATGAACGTAAATCGGGGCTCATGACAAGCGCTATAATAATAATAATTATCTTTATTAATCCCAAGAAACAAGAATGTTTATAACAGGGATAAAATTTAAAATGATGATTAAATAAATTATTTCCATATTAGTTAAATATACACCATATAAATACAAACACATATATGCATATATACATACATATTTACATATACACACACATATATGTATAAATATATACATGTTTGAATGATAAGGGTATTTAAAAACAAAAAAATATATGGAGTTAAGAATTGTAATTAGAGGAAGAAAGCAGAAACTTATTCAATTTCGATTTGAATTTTGTTTTTTGGTTTATTTTCAGTTTCTCTGGAAGATTATTATATATTTTAACTCCTAAATGAAATATTGATTTCTCCCCAAATTTTGAGTGACATGATTTAACTAGTAGTTTTTTTGCTTGTCTGGTATTATAGTCATGGATGGTATTTATTTGATTGAACTCCAAATTCGAATGTTTGTTATTTTTTCTAACAGAATGAATGAAATAACAAATATTCAATTGGAAAATAGACTGAATGTCTAAAAGATCACTTGGTATATATAAATTTGACGTAGGTTCAAGATACGGTAATTTGAATATACATTTTATTATTTTATTTTTCAGTCTTTTGAGAGGATTCATTATATTGATTAATAAGCTGTTCCCCAAATTGAAATTTAATATTGTAGATTCAAATATACCAAACAGAAATATATACATTTGAGATATTATAATCAAATAAAATTTCTAATCCATTCTCCAAACTGTTTTAATTAACAGATTTAACCACCGATGCAACCTTTTCAACTGTGATTCTAATAATGATTAATCGAGAACAGAATATAAAAAGTATGACATGAGCATGATCTGAGTATGATCTTTTTGGAACTGGGAGTTTGAATGAATGGTTTAAACAAACAAAAATAATAATTGTACTAGTCGGATTGGAGATCAAATTATGTGTTTTGCAATATTTTAAAGTTTGTTCCAGTTATTGCGTGAATATCTAATGTTGATAATCGAAACAAGAATTTTAAAGAAACCATGAAAATCAGAACTGTTTATGTTTATTAAGTTTCCATTCAAGTTTTATTGTTGTGTAACTTTTTGTGCGCCTTGAACGACTTCATCTGGTCGAAACTCAAATTACAATCGCCGCAGGTATATGTACCGTGCGTTCTGTAATGTCTTTTCAGATCCTGCCCCAACCTGAACGACTTCTTGCAGATATCGCAGCTATAAGGTCGCTCTCCACTGTGTATCCACTGGTGCACCTTCAGGTCGCCGTTCCTTCTAAACTTTTTGTCACAAACTCTGCACTCGAAAGGGAACACGTCCCCGTGGAACTTCTTGTGAACATACAGGGACGCTTTCTGTTTGAAAGCCCTGCCGCAAATGTCGCACATGAACGGCCTAGCCTGAGTATGAATGTTTAGGTGTTCGTCTCTGGTTGGCTTACTCTTAAACCACTGGTCGCAGTAGACGCAGTGGAACTTTTTCCTGTCGTAGTGGAGTTGCTCAATGTGTCTGGTCAAGTGCTCCGATGTCTGGAACTTGGCGCCGCAAATGTGGCAGCAGTAAGGCTTCTCGTTGAGGTGGGTGTTTCTGTGTCGCAAGAGACTACTGCTCTTTACGAAATTGCTGTTGCAGATGTCGCAGGTGTAGTGAGTGTCTGCTTTGCACTTTTTCAGAATTTCAACGTTTTTAGATTTGACAGATGGGGTTATGTTATCTACTTTGTCGGGGTGTTTGTTTTGGATGTGTTTGTGCATATCGAATTTTCTAGTGAAACGCTTCTGGCACTTCGGGCAAGAAAATAGTGCGTCTATCTCAGACTTTTTTCTTCGGAACTTAGGCTGTTTAAGGTTATGGGACGAGGACATGTGGTTTTTTAGATCAGTTTTGGTGGTGAAAGATTGTTCACAAAGTTTGCACGTTTTTGTTGTCAGATCAACTGCTTGGAGATATTCGGAGATATTTTCTGTCGTTTCTGATTGTTCATTTTGTTGGCAGTTCTCTGTATTGGGGTTACCCAAAGTTTCCTCCCCTAAAGGCTCAGGGCAAGTAGCAATGATGTCGGCCTCGTGTTGGTATTCGTCTTCAAATTGAGAGTTTTGTCTGTAAAATAAAAATTCAATTGAAGTTGTAGTTTTTTCTACTACTTTCAAATCAAACACAATTGAATAGTTAAGCTTTAGTTTCCCAAAAACATCATACCGAGTACAATATATTATATATTTTAACTCCTAAATGAAATATTGATTTCTCTCCAAATTTTGAGNACTCCATTTTAAGTTTTTATCTATTATAACCCCTAAGTACTTGATTTCTTTCAACTCTGTGATTTCCTCCTTGATGTTCTTAATTTTTATACTACTGAAGGAGGGTCTATTAACATCTGTTGTTGAGAATGCAATATAGTGTGTTTTCTTGACATTCAGGGATAATTGGTACTTATCCAACCAGTTTTTGGCAATTTCCATATCTCTTTGCAGAAAATCTTTTGTCTCAGTCCATGTATTGCCATTAAACAACATGACGGTATCATCCGCATACGATATTACTTTTGCATTTGTTGATGAAGATAAGAATGCGTTGATATATGTTAAAAAGAGAATAGGTCCAAGTACTGTGCCCTGAGGTACTCCTATTTTTATCGTTCTTGGATCACTTAAGGTGTCATTCAGTTTAACTATTTGTGTTCTATCTGAGAGATAACTGCGAAAGACATTCAATACTGTCCCACGTACTCCATAACATTCCAGTATATGGAGGAGCTTTTCATGATTCACGGTATCAAATGCTTTCGCTAAGTCAAGAAACACTGCGATACATTTCTTATTAGCATCTAATTTTTCAGTTACTTCTGTTATGACCGAGCACATTGCATCAGTGGTAGACTGATGCAATGTACATCAATATGGGTTGAATTATGGAAATGAATAGTTTGATGAGAAACAATTTTAATACAATCCTCATAGATTAACCTACAACATAACACTCCTCATAAAATGTCTAAGTATCCAGAGTACTATGGTTCAGCTTGTTGTGATTCTTCAAGTACCGTTTCTGTTTGAAACTCAATCCGCACATGACACAAGCGAAAGGTTTTTCATCCGAATGAATCAACCTATGCCTCTTCAGCTCGTATTTGATCCTGAAATGCCTCCCACAAATATCGCACGGGTAGGGCTTCTCCCCGGTGTGTTTCGTGATGTGTATCTTCAGAGGTGGCTTAGTCCTGAAAGCTTGCTCACAGTATGAACACTTGAACGGAAACGAGTCGGTATGAGAACGGTTGTGCACAAATAACGATGCTTTTTGCTTGAAGGACTTTCCGCACAGATCGCACACGTAAGGACGTTCATTGGTGTGAATCCTCCGATGTTCTTCTACGTTGCGACGAGTCGCGAACATTCTCCCGCACAAATCGCAAGGGAAATTCTTGATTCCCTGGTGGGTTTCTTTCAAGTGGCGCACCAGGCCTTGAGAGACTCTGAAACACTTTCCGCACAGATGGCACGTGTGGGGGCGTTCTCCGGTATGTATGCGCATGTGCCACACATAAGTGTAAGGTGAATGGAGACACCTGCCACACTCTTTGCAGTTGTAGTAGATTTTACCGTCGACAATAATTTTTGCGGAGTTTACGAGATCTTGGTCGATTTTTGAGTTCTTCCTTTTGTCCTTTTTGCTGTTTTTCTGCACGTCTGGTTGAAAGTCCTCTTCGGGGTGAACCTCTGCTAGGTGAACAACCATCTCCTGTTCGGTAAGGAATACCATCTGACAGGTCTGACATCCATAACAAGTTGATAACTTTTCCTCTGAATGCTCGTCTTCTCCTTCTATCTCCTGGTTGATTTCTTCTTGTTTCTCATTTAGTGTTTCTACAGTTTCATGTTTCTCTGCTTTATAAACTACTGGACTGAGTTGCAAGTAACGAGGTTCCACTGTTACTAAAGTTTCTAAATTTTCATTGCAGGTCTCGTATACTGTTGTCTGAGGTTTTACCAATTGTTGTGTTTCAATTTTGGTAGGAACATTTTCGTTCAATCCTTCGTGTTCATTCCTGTGGACAAAATTCAGTGTAATACAGGACGGTTTTTTTCTTGTGAAGAGTGTGGCAAGTACAAGTACTACAAACACTACACCATCAACACAAAACTGTTTTTTTATTAGGTTCACTTTCTTATTATTAGATATTTTCATGCAAGGATATTTTCGTTTTTGTGACCCCAACATTACATCCAAAGAAGGAACTAAACATTGTTCAGAACGGCATTACAATTGTGATAGTTGTGTATTTTCCCAAAAATTGAAATCATGGTTTAGTATTTAGAAAGGTATTTTTTACTGAGTTCAATACTTTCTTTAGTAATACAAAATTGTAAAAATCATTTTCATATACTTTTATAGGAAGATACAGATTCATTTTTGACGCCAAATCATTGTTCATTCCGTTTTCACTGAATATGCCAATTAATTTATCATTTTGGTTGGCACATAGTCTGCATATTACATTAATGCTGATGATTTCTGTCAGTTCATTCTCAGGTATCTCCATCAGTGATTCTTTATTTTCCTCCATAGTAAAAATTCAGAGAATACTTCACTAACAACGTTTATTCAATTGTATGAATATAGAGTTTGTGTTTATTTACAACTTTTGAATTTTCCTGCGATAAGCAAATTTCATCGTGTGAATATGGTCATTACGATCATTTTAAAAGCACCATCCACACAATACCGAAAATGAGTTGATTAATATGGCAACTCGACATTTTTGACATGTAGAATGAACAACGAACTAAGCCAGTACAATGTTACCAATAGTGCGTTCCACAAGCGTTCACAACGATCACGCTCACGACCGCAATTTTTTCCTTTACACTTGCTTGCGAGCGTTACTCTCTTAAACGCAAGCGGAATGAATTATGGAGCGTTTTGGGAGTAGAAGTTTTCGAGGAGGTTAGGTAAGCCTTGACAATAAGTTACAATAATTGCAAGCTAATTTTATGTAAATTAAGAAAGAAGTATAATTCGATCTTTTATATATAATTTTAGTGAAGCAATTTGTCATTATTTATTTTGATTATTATATTTTATTGTATATTTCAATTTTTTATTGTTTATGTGAATAAAATTTCACTTATGAATTAATACATCAATTAATCTCCAGTTCATGATGTTGTTTTCTTCAGATGATTTTAAAATTCAGATTTCAGTTTTATACTTGATAAAGGGCTCCTTTGTCTTATCATAACTAACTAGATCGAATATTTCGGTTTGATTATTCTCAATAATTTAATAATTTTCGAATCTGTAGTCATTTTTGACAATGGAATTCCGAAACTGTAGTAACATTGTCAACTACTTTCAAACATTACATTCATGACAGATTTGCAATAGATGATGTTTTTTTTAAGTTCCAGTTGCAATAGTTGAATCTAGCATTGGATAAGTAGGGATACAGGTTATGTTTTGTATCAAAAGTAAATAAGTACTTGAAAAGCTACAAAACAGTAATGTGCTGACATATATGTACCAAGTGAAATATTTTCATGCGAAGAGGTTGCAGTCCACAGACTTGCCCATAACTGTGAATCAACAATTGTGAATTGTGTACATCGATTGTTGTAGTCATTTGACACCTTTAGAAGATGCCATAAATACTTGACTTCTTATTGATACACAATATATTTGAAAATGAAAATTATAGAGTGCCCGCAATCGTGCTAACGGATATAATCATTCAATCGATTCTGGCTCCTGAACAAGCCATGAACGTTTTGGCCGGATAGCCTCAGTAACTCATGCCACCATAAGAAGAAGTTTTATTTTTTCAAGATGCATCAAGGTTATGATCATCTGTTTAGAATTAGTATTTATTTTGTTGTCAGCTAATATTATAATGGTGATTGGGATTATTAATTATTAGAGCGTTTAGTTTTTTATATGTACTGGCAGTTACTTGCACATTTCTTCCGAGTGGATCGAGGAGGTTATTTTGAAAATTTTGTTTTTCTCAACTGACATGCACTGGATAATGGGATTGTACTTTTTTGAATTTTTACTCTTGTCTCCACTTTCTGAAGACTTAGTCGGCGTAATAACGTCCGTTTTATTTTCCATTTCACTGTTTTTGATATGATACTTCACAATTATGCAAAACTGGACTAGTTAGACTTATTTCAAAATTTTACTTTTACAGTTGATATTCAACAAGTATTTCATTAATGATGCCGGTAATTTGTAAAATATGTGAAAAGACGTTCGTATCACAAAGTACTTTGAACAGGCATTTGCATAAAGTCCACAAAGAAACGAAGAAAAATGTGGTCTCTTACAATTTTGGGACTTACAATAACAAATGTCTGGAAAATGGATGTAATACGTCATACAAATTCACTGCAGAACTTCGTTATCATTTAGAAAATGATCATAAGGTAGAAATGAAGAAGGAGTCATTGGAGTTCCTCACAATAGGAGGTTAAGTATGCAATTCAACTAAAATGTATTCCTAATGCTTTCATTTCAGATTTCGAAGCCTGGCTCTCTGAGGTTCACAAAAAGAATAATGTTGGATACTTACGCAGGGAAATGAAAGGTATCCTTTATTACAATTGCAATAGATCAGGTAAGACAAAATGTTTTTTAGGCTAGATATCCCTCTCAACTACTCCCTGTAGTTTTTAAAAACTTTTCATTAGGGTTACCTATTTTGTTCTAATAATTACGAATCTCAAGTCAAACCTGGCCCTCATATTTATTTTTCTGAATGAGGTCAGGTATTTCAGGATCATATCGATATACATATGTATGTAGGAATAATACTCATCTACTCATATTATTTCTAATATTGACAACAAATAATAAAAACTCTACTGAAGCGATATCATTCAGAAAATGAAAAAGTCTTTTTGGTGAAATTTTTTATGCTATATATCTCAATCTTGAAAAGTGTACTGGAACTCCAAATTCTGACATTAGATTTGTGATTAGTGGTCAAAAATACGTACTAATAAAAAAACCAGTGTGAACCTTTACAAGAATATCTTCCGATTTCAATCCTTGGACAAAATACAAATTAGATATTTTAGGTAAATACCAGATCAAAGGACAAGAGCGCAAAAGAGCTATCAAAAGCCAAGGATCCTGCAAAGTTGGCCATATGTGCACTAGTCAAATTATAGTTGTCAAGAATGGGAATGATATATATCAAGTGACATACTACAGCACTCATTATGGTCATGATACTGAAGTTCAACATGTTCGAATGACTAAAGATGAACGTGAGAAAATAGCTTCGAAACTAGCTGAGGGTGTAACAAATTCGAAGTAAGTTTAGTCCTGAATGAAAACCTCTCTGAAGTTGAGATTTTATATTCTCTACAAATAGTCAAAGCTAAAAACATATTAGGATACGATGCAGTTTCCAGCATGATTAGACACTGTTTATAATGTGCCTAGTTTTCAAATCAGTGGTAAGAAGTAATGTTGAAAACTACCAAGCAATTATTCTAGGTTTCAAGTTTCCTAGTCTGGTATTCTTCAACATTTCTATAACTTTTTTTTGGTAACACTTTGTGAAATTTTCGCAAACCGTTTACATGCTTTTTTGTAATTGAAAAAGCTGTTGTATAGTGTATTGTGGTTCTGCAAACTGTTCAGTAAAAATATCTACGATAAAATGTTAACGTGAACACATTATCATCAAATAATGCCAAACATTGATTTTTTTTTGAAATATCAGTTTTTTGTATTATTTTGGTCATTGTATTCAAAGTATTCAACCATACTTATTTTGTTCTACACAGTCAATGAATATTTCTCTTGATGATAGAAAACAAAAACAAATTTATGAACAATGTATCTTACAATTTCATAATATTTAACTGAATACAATAGTAATATGTATTTAGTAATGCTTAACAAGAAGTTTTAAACATTTATAGTAAGACAATGATTGACAGGAACAACATTTTCATTCAATAAACAATAAAAATGATTATTGAAATACTACCAATCAGTTTATTGTCTCAAGAAACAATTGATGCTCATAATAAGGAACTATAACTAATTACAAAAATTATAAAATATCAGTAAGAGAAGTAAGGTATTTTACAAATAACACAACAGATCTCGCATCTTAAAAAAAAAGAAAATCAGACCTTTTTTTGAACAGTTAACGTAAAATTGCTTTACTTTGTTTAATGCATTCCCTTTCTTCTAGACAATCAGCTGTTATTCCAAATTCAAGTATGAAGTTGAGAAATTATTATCAAAAAATATTTTTTTATACTCTATAAGAGTTATTTGTATTACTTTCAGAATACTGGATTCAAGTAGGAGCCAATTTCATGAGAATAGTCTTACTAGATTGAATCTTCTGACTCGAAACGATATTAACAACATTAAATATAGCTTCAAAATTAATACACAGAAAACCATTCCTCACCGAAGAGCTTCCATCAGTGACTTGTGGAATGATGAGTGGGAGGTAGATGAAAACCAACAAATCCTGATGCTCAAGAGGCAGGGAGAAGAACATCATCAACTGGAAAAGGATGATTTTTGTTTGATTTTCATGAATTGTTCACAACAACATATGTTGAAGAAGTTTGGAAGTACAGCCATAGCTGTCGATCATTCCGACAGGCTCAGTTCAATATTGGTTATTGATGAGTTTGGGGAAGGATTTCCTGGTGCCTGTATGTACACAAATAGGACTGACCGTTTTGTATATACCCTGTTCTTTCAAACCGTCGCATTGTATGTGGGCATTCTGACTCCTAATTTTTTTATCTCCGATCAAAAGCTTTGTCACTACTTCGCTTGGGAAAACGTCATGGGGCCAGTAACAAATCATTTACCTTGTAAAGGACACATTGATCGAAGTTGGCAAAATAATCTGAGTAAGATACTCAATGTGGATATGAATAAGGGTATAACTGCTGTATTGAAATACATTCGTGATAAAACTATAGAGAGGGTTATCAAATTGACGAAAGGTAAAAGTACATCTCAGACTCAGGGTATTCATTCTCGTCATCGAAAGGCACTTGAAAGTGAGTTTGCCCATTATTCATGCCCCGGTACAGAGAGCTCGTGGACGTTAATCTCCCAAAGTCAAAGTCATGTTGTCACAAGAAACGAAGGTTACAGTTCTCCTTGCTGTCAGCTGAAGTGCAGCTATTGTAATGTGTGCGTTCACGCTTATAGTTGTACTTGTCAAGACTTTTATGTGAATAGTACGATGTGCTGTCATATTCATTATGTAGTTTTACGAATATCCGAGGCTTCCTCGCACAATGCTCTTGCTCCAACACATAAAGAGAATGTCAGTTCATTTGGTAGTGATGAGGTTAAGGAACATTTACAAACTTTATCCAATCACCGTAAAAATGAATGCAATGAAGTTCCTGTGGAAATTCAGATAATAGATATAAGTGGAAGTGATAGTACAGTAGAAATTGATTCTCTCAATATCGTGCCCTATGTTATAGTTGAAAATAAAACAATAAAAACAAGTTAACGAAAATCATAGTGTTAATTTGATCAAATGAGGTTTGCCATTTCTCTCTTAGATTATTTTCCTCAAAATTATTATAGTGTGAAAGGAAACAGAAACATGACAACTAAATGGTATGCCAAAATTTGAATTTTCGTTTTTATTAGGAAAAATTCTATTCGCAGTTCATCTACTAGCTACAAGATGTCACTAGGTACATGTTACAAAATCGCCTCATCAGATGTGTTCATACTCATGGTGAGTATGAACAAATGAACATACATTTGTACACATTGAATAAATAATAGTTTTCAAACATGTCAAGTTATTGAAATTTTTCTAATCCGTTTTTAAGAAGGAGCTTTTCCAAATCACCTGAGTTGATATGCCATTTGCCGGTAGAAACTATAAACACTGTTTTTCAGAGACCTGTAAACGATGCACAGTCGAGTTTCCTCTACTAAGCAAAAGATGTCGCTAGACAAAAACTATTTTTGTGATATACACAACCAGTTTTCTGCAAACATTTTAGCCTTTGGTAAAAGTCCATTATACCTAGGAGTGGAGTGTAGTAGATTTACGATGCCGAAAAACTCAAAGTCGTCTCCACAATTCAATATCACCCTCAGATGTTAGATCGGTAAAACCATCAGTAATGTTTCGAACCTATATAGGATCATCATCCAATTATTTAAAAATTCTACAATAAAAGTACAAAAGTTAAAACAATTAAGTATAAAATTACTACATGGAGAACATTTTATAACGGAGAAAAGAAAATGAAATAAATTTATTCCTTTATATATTTTGGACAGTTGATTTTCCTTTCTAATCCAATTCAGTTGGGATCTCTTTCAGTAGAATTCATTTTCATGTAGGGGTTTTGAATTTTGATTAGTGGATATAAAGACTCTAAGCCTCCTATACTACAGTCATTTATAGCTAGGATGTTATAAACTTCTTTCATATCACTAAATATACATTTTTCGTTACTATTAACACGTTCAACCCGTGTTAGGAATCATACGTTGAAAGGTAAGACCTCGTTAATCCTTAGCTCGCACAAGTTTCGACTTCCGAGGGTTGTCGTTCTTAGGAGTAAGACAGCTGGTTAACAGGAAAACAGATTATATTAACTGTTGTTGAGTTGTTCTTCTTTTATTATAGAATTTCAAAATAATAGCCGATGATGAGCCTATATAGGTTCGAAACATATATTGATTGATGGTTTTACCATTCTAACATCTGAGGGTGATATTAAATTGTGTGCGATCTTATTGAAAGACTACATCTGGCATCTGTTGATTATATTTACTATCTCTAAAACATTTTGTGGAAACTCGAAAACAATATAAATGTGTAAAATGACAAATAAGTTGTCAGTTTTTGGTAGAATAATAGATCTCGGGAACATACATGCTTTTAGAAAGAATTTAAAAAATATGTACCAAATAGATAAATATATTTACAGAAAATACAATTTCTGTAATGAAGCCAAAAAATAAAGTTAAATCAGGTGGAAATTTAAATGAACAAATCAATGGAATTGTGGATGATATTGCGAAACCCAATTATCATTATCAAAAAGGATGTAATATTTTTTTGTTATTTAGAATTTAATGACAAGATTGATATTTCTTGTCTAAGAGCGTAATGAAACTTTTGAGCACTTTTTATCAACAATATTGGTCCATGTTTAGCACTTATTTACAAAAAAATAGCCAGTCAAATCTGCAGACAAAAAATTAGTCAAATGATAATTATTGAATGGTCATTTGCTCACACAAATCTGACCACAGACACAACTGACTATACGAAACACAAAAATATTCAAATAAATATACATACGAACTAAAATGACACAAAACATTGCTAATACTTAGTAATAAATAATTTTTGGTTTAGGATTGCTTGGGGACTAAACATGGTAAAGCATTGGACACGTTTTAATACTATCTCCCAGACGAGTTGTTCAAATTTTTTACTACAGTCCAACTTTCGTTTTCGGCTAAGCTTTCATTAAGTATTATCCCTAAAATAACAAATTATAATTATTTGAGGCTCAAACGGAGACAGGAAAAGCTACCTCAAAAAATAACAGGTAAATTCCTAAAACAGTTGCACAAGCCACAATAATTTTGGAGATATATTCGATATTATTCATAAAGTCGAACAATATCACTTCAACTTATAATGAATGCTTTTTCAGAAAAGCAAAATTGGCTTGAATATTCAAAAGTTTTTCTAATATAAAAAGCAGCCAGTACTCATACAGGCAGACTCATAATAAAAAATACTAATAATCGGGACCACAGCAGAACAGATGAAAATTCCTCAGTAACTGAAAACCCATTTTACGTAGTCATTGAAGAACAAACTGAATACATCGTTGGAAAATGAATTTTGAGGACTTCCATTTCAGAAGTTTGTTTATGATGGCGTTGATTCTTTCGCCAGACTAGATTATTGCTTGAGATCAGCGGTAAATTTGCTTTTGTTTCACAAAACAACTGAACTGCCAAATACTGATGACGAAAAATAATCTGATGATCCTGGGAACACAAAATTTTCCTCTCCAGTTTGTGACATCACATCATGGCTGCTCGACTAAAATATAAAAATAATATGCTGATAACTGATGAGAGCATAAATTGGTTATCTAATCTTTGATATCATTTCCAAGAATTTGCTTCTAAAAGGATAATTCTCGAGACGAGGTTTCAAGACATACACAACATGTAAAGCATACATGAAAAAACTACCACACTTTTTCCAAAAAAGTTGAGGAAAGTAACCAATAAAATTAATGGAGGAGCAAAACGTAATTATAATTTTTTACTTAAGGTAATTATTGCTTGTTTCCCATATGCAAAACCAAAATTTACGTTAATTTGGGAAAAATTATCTGAAACAAAGTGAAGAGCCATATTTTTCAGAAAAACTGTAGACCTAAATAAGAAGTTTACGGCAATGAATGACTTTGCGAAATCAACAGCTCCCAATTTTTACAGATGAACGTCATTGTTCAAGTGAGTTTCCAAGTTATTGTGCACATCATCACAGAGGATACTAAAAAAATTGCTCAAATAGAAACAAAAACAAATTATTAAATATACTGATGAATCGTTATATTTGATCTAGATGTAGACTTTTGCAGTCACCTTTTATAACTGTTTATGGTTTCAGGTTTTTAATTTGTGATCTGCTGGAATTTCTCCCAGACGTTCCTCCCGGCGCAAGTGACAGGCATCTACAGAGGTCCAGTGTACCTGGACGATAACAAAGACCTCTGAAAATGCCAACCACTCGCGTCGGGGAAACGTCAAGAAAAAATTCAACAAACGGTGGCCTAAAAACCAGAGTTATCATTAGTATTTAGGATTTTTCATTTTTTGCCAGTGAAGCTGATTTATTTAGCAGTACAATTGAATATACTCAAAGCTACATCTGTATATCAATACACCAAAAAAAAGGAAGCGAGTCTGAGGAATTTTCAAAAATTTATTTTGAATAAAAGACAAGTGGGTATAACCTGAGTCGCTTGAAAGAAAAATAGTTCTATCCAATTTGCGAAAAACAATATACAGGTCCCAGCAGTAGGCTTGTGCAAAAGCTAGGTAGCAATTTCCCGTCGGCTCTGCATCGAGCAAGAAAAAAGTCAACAGTACACAGGACTTCACACAAAAAACCGAACCCCAGCCCTCAGAGACTGACCAGCTTCGGGGGCCCGCAAGCGTCCGGGGACGCCATATCAATCATACTAACCGGAATATTCCTCTGCTGGCTGCTGCAGGATGGCACTAGGGGTGTCGAAACGGGGGTGAGTCCCGTGCCTCCGCCCATCAGAGATTCGAAGTTGAATATCATACCGGTAGATGGCGTCGAAATGGGGGCTCCTATCACGTCCGAGATGCTCTTCGGCGCTATCGCTCCGACGTTGAGGGTGTTTGGTCTGCTGGGCTTGCAGACTGGCGCGGCAGAGCTGAGCATGACCCTTTTCGGCGAGGGGAGGAGGAAGCAGTCTCCGTTCACCTGGTCAATCAGTTCCGTCTTCACTCGTTCGGGTTCGTAATGGTTGTTGTTGAAGGGTTTGATGTCGGGGGGGCTGCGGGTGTGCAGGCGGCAGTGCGGGGAAGCTCGGTGGGTTTCGAGAAGGCATTCCAACTGGTCTTTGAGAGTTTGCAGCTCATGCATTTCGTCCTGCAGAAGGGCCTTTTTGTGTTCCAGCTCTTCGGTTTCCTGGAACAATGAAAACAATATTATGACAATGATTACGCATTACAAATTACTACGACCCTGAGCTTTCAATGAATTTTCTAACTTTTCCAGGTTTTCCCCGACCAACATTATAGTTAGATAATTCAAAAAGTAAGTCCAGGAAATTTTACGTCATGAGACACTGCTATTCCATTAGTATCATCAAATTCATCAAGCATTTTTTTTCATCGATAATGATTTAGAATAATTCAATATTAAGGCTTTTGTGTTTGCACCACAAAATAAATTTATCAAAAATTTCTCTGGCTTTCGTTCGTGTGGCGTATGCATAACCAAAATAAATATTATTATACACTAGATATAGATGCTGTAATACTAAAATCATTCTATTCGATGCAGTAAAATTTTATTTTTTTCCAATTACAATCACAGTAATTCTACCTCTTCTTGATATATGTCATGCATGAAGCTGACTGACAAATGTACAATAGACATTTATACTTCACGAAACAAAATGATAAAATCATTATTAATAGTTAGTTCTATATAAAAATGCTTCATTCATCAGAAAGTAACACCCATTTATTTTTCTATTTCGAAGGAAAATCGAAGTTACAAAAATGACTGACGTCAACAACATTGAGACTTAGTCCCCTTTCAAACCACGTTCCCAAATGCATATAATTTTTGTAAAGCGAAAAAAAAATGCATGAATTAATACACCAAATAACTATTCGATTAGTACTACCTAGTTAAATAGCTCTTTAACTAAATTCTAAATATGAAGTCTGTTTCGTAATATGAAATACTTTTTAATTTTGGAACCAATCATCGAATCTATCTCAAAAACAAGTTGGCAATATGGCACAAACAGTCAGAACATCAAGAATACAGGAAGAAGAAGAAAATTAATCATGCAATATGAATAAGTTATATGGTGTCGTCAAGTTCATATCAAATGTTAGTGACGTTTCTACTCGAAGTCGAAAATACTGACAAAAATTTGTAAAACAATATAAAATGGGATACTGTTTTTTTTCACCTAGGCCAATCCGATATCAGGATAAATTCCCATTATTTCAACATGAATATTGTCACTACTTTCTGTTTTACTTGAATTTGACCTTGTGTAAGATCAGTTATATTATTATTGAAAATAATAAGTATTCAATTGTATAATAAAATACAAAATTACGCAAGGATATTTAAAATGATACCAACCAAGCCCAAAAAACAGGTAAAAAATATATGATACAAACAAAATGAAGTGATTGAATTTTGTTAAAATGTATTGAACTTCTATTATTTAAATGATGAAAATGCGTCAAAATGTGAAGAACGATGAACAGAAATGAAAAATCTATAATAATACTGATTTCAAACCATTTGTTCTTGAAAAATTGTAATTATTTTTCACTTAAAATATTGCCAACAATATAAGTAATACAAGTATCAAAAAGCTCGCCAGCCCAAACCAATTAGCTGTTTCCAGACAGTAATGAAAGTCAACAAATACAGCTTTGCTACTTTCAATAGTTTCAGTTTTTCGGTTGCAAAAATATTGTTACAGAACTCACACTTGCAATAAAAGTGACTGGAAAATACTACTCACCGCTATGAGACAATTTGTATGGTCGACCCGACGCTTTCTGCACCGCGCCGCTGCGGCCTTGTTGCGCTCCCTTCGGATCCGCCTGCGTTCCTCCTCTTCGGGACTACAGTCGAGATTTTTTGCGGGTTTCCTGCCGCCCATATTCCGACGAGTCTGGCTGCTGCTTTTTTGCGAAAGGGGGGGCGTCGAACGGGTATCGCAGTCCGAGCTCGATTGCGATACGGAACTATGCCAGATCGGTTGTGATTTCGACGAGAACGTATCGGCATCAGAAGCCGAAATGTACTTGTTATTGCCTGAAAAGAAAAATGAACGTTAGCGATTGAAAAAAACAAAACATCAGTTATTGAAATATTGACTTGGTTGATAGTGCTGACAACCAAAGCCAAATAGAAAAAAAGAAGAGGGCTATTCGCTGATTTCCTTAATTTTTTGTTCGACAAAATAATGGTTGTATTTTCGATTGAAAGTAATTAGCTGGCTCCTAAACGATTAATTCTCAATTGTTAATAATAACGGGGGTAATACAGATGTTATAAATATCGTAGTGTTCTGTTCTAGCGAACCACGGAGAAAACATCTAGATTTTATAATGCCAATGACAAAGTCTGGGAATGTTTGAATGTCAATAGAAAAGACGCATGTACTTTTTTATTCTTTAAAAAATATATTGGCCCCTAAAAATCTCAAATAGTGAATGACATTTCTTTGACGCTTTTATTTTTTAATTATTCAAATTTAAACTTCTCCCAAACGCCATTTGTAAGCAAATTGTATATATTACGGAAGAAATAAATTTCCCTTGTAATTTCATGCAATTTTGACAACTATGTTGGATGTAATAATGGAATCAAAATATTTCATGTGAGTTGAATATATTGCTTCAGTTATTCATTATCTGAGTCAGTATAATAGCAATGTTTCAAGTTGAGAAATGGAAATGTAAAATTCCAAATAAGTGAGCATTCCAACTATTTGAGAGAGATCTCCAATAAAGATGATATTCTCTAAGATAAAATCATGAAATATCTAAAATATTATATTCTGCATACCAGAAATTAGAAAAAAACTAGGTGTACATCTAATATAATCTTCAAAGAAATGATCATTCTGAAGAAAAAAAATCTTTCTAGTTTTCTGAAGAACCAATATATTTGGTTATCCCGAAGTTTTGCAGCGCCATCTTACGGCAATGACTGCACATTTTGCAATAAAAACAATTATTATCTACAGAAGCTATTCAAAAATTGTATTTTCACGGATGAATAATTGAAAGTACAACTCGGCATTTTTATATTCTTTTGTTGGTAAGAAAATATATTGAGATATTCAGTTCAGATAACGAAAATCGTGAAAACATCACAGTGTTGCCATCTATTCTAGGCGACCGCTGTCGCAAGATGTCGGGGCATTCTTCAAGGAGAACAAATTATTGTCAAAGTGACAATTAGTATCAACATTACGGTGTTTGGAATCACACGTTAAAACGTAAAACCTCGTTAGTCCTTAGCTCGCACAAGTTTCTCAACTTCAGAGAGTTGTCGTTCGTATGGGGGCGACAGCTGATTAACGGAAAAACAGATTTTTTAAACAGATTTCAAAGAAATATTTCATTTGGATAGAGTGCGTGAGAACTATCATTCACTACGAGATAAAATAATAGTAACATTCCTGATTCTGATCACAAGTTTGGAATAATATTTTTCTCAAGAATCTCCTAACAATAGAACCAAGTAAGGAAAATGTTTAATGATTGTTAAGTAAGTCGTTCCGTACGTCCTTGACTGGAAATTGTTTTTTAACGAAGCGGTTCTTTGTTGAGAAATGTTGTATTCCCATCGTTATTTAGGATTTATGAATTACTTCCTTGTGCAATAAAAACTGGAAGACAATGACCATTCGTTGGAATTCTTGGTTCAAGCTCATCAATAACAAATAAATGATGAAATAACCTAAAATAGGGATCAATAATGAAATACTTTTAACAGTTGGAATTTAATGCAATCGATATAAACAAAAACTTTCAATTATTAAAGCTTTTATACACTCCAAAGAAACCAACTGTAATATTATTATTTAAATGTAAACTGACTATTATCACTTTTCATACAGATAAACAAAACAAGAAATCCTGATAGTGAATTGCAATAACACTTGTTTGACATAATCCCGCCGATAGTCGAGTAAACAGATGGTAGTTTCAAAACAATTTGTATCAGATTCGACTTGTCACAGTTTGTACTTCGGACAAATGCATAATACAAGAGAATGAAACGGAAGAATACTCTAAAAAAGACATCAATATATCAATGAAACTTTCAACAAAACAGATTATTCACAGATGTTCCAGATACAAACTGAAAAAAAGATTAAGTTACTAAGGCTACCAATTTTGAAATGAACAAAAAAAGTAAGCGGTAAATAATATGGGTAACATTATAAATTCTGCGCATGCTCAATTGTATCTTGGGTATTCAATTGCGATGAAAATGCCAACCCATCTCCTCTGTTAGATAGTTACATATTCACATTTAAACAAAACATTTGGAGAAGATCCATTTTTCTTTGACGGTCCACCCATCTTCTCTGTTAGTTACATATTCACATTTAAACAAAACATTTGGAGCCGATCCATTTTTCTATGTTGGCTACCCTTTGTATTCGTCATACCATCAGTTGTCAAAAGCAGATATTAGTCCTATTTGCTGTTTAAAAGTCGTTCTTACAACAATAATTTGAGTTGTCATGTGTTTTCATTCAATTTTCTTGACAAGTGAACGATTAACATGACAATTGACAATAATGAGACATACACAGAGTAGCAAACTCAGAAAAAGTACCGTATTCCACAGGACTTACTTTTCAGATATGGTACCTATGAAAGTGAGAAACAGTACGAAAAAAGTAAAAAAATTAGCATTCTCCACTCAACCTATTTTTTGTAAATAGTATTGTTAGATTCATATCTGTATTTGAATATATATTTTTACTTTAAACTACCCCATAATATGAACTGGTAAACGAAAATTTCTGTACGTTTTTGGTCCGACTAAACTTTCTACCGATGAGGGCGCTGTCGTGTTAAACAAATGATGACATTAAGCGGTAAACAGCTGAATGTGAAACATATATTTATGTTCATTGTTATGTGAGTTGCTGTGTTTTGAGTAGTTCAATTGTGAATTCATGGGAGTACCGTTTTCCAAAGTAATTATTACAGACAAGAGAAATATGTATTTTTGAAACATTATAAGATATTTTTAGTAACGATCAAAGTAGTTTCAGTACTTAATTTTCTTCAAAATTAAAAAACCAACTGGACGATTACGATGTCTTTGCATCAATACAATAAGTATGTATGCACGATTTCTCCCACGGCCATGACTCAGTCAAGCAGCTAAACGTATCGTTTTAAATATCAATGGTAAAATTGTATTATTGTTGCAATTATTTTTTTTTTCAGTTTTTAGATGGTCACTTAGTTATTTGTTTTGTTTACCTTCTCAATCGAAGCTCCACTCGATGCAATTATATAAAAGTATTAAAGAGGATAACAAGATTCAACCTTCACCCTATTATGTAAAAATAATAATGCATTTTGTTTTGTTTACTCACCAACAGAATGCACTAAAGGTGGTACGAATCCCGCCTCATTCTCATGCGATTCTGGCTTTGATTGAAGTTCTATAAAAGTTTGTTCGATGTTTCGTAAAGTTGTTGGGGTAAGGGTCGGCGTCGTTCGCGTAGGCACTCCTGAATTCAGACCTTCGAGATTTATGAACTGAAACAAAATAAACAACAATCAGAACTGATATCACATAAAATAATGAGACATATAATCGAGTTTTTCCAAAAATTGATCTGCAACATTCAGATATTATCAATCCTCTTTCCAAATGAGGAAAATATTTGATTGTCACTGGCTATTGGCAATTCAAAATTAGATTCTAGCGCCATGGTGGCAAAGGTGCAAAACATAGATGTTTTCTCGGAATTTAGGTTATAAATTCAATTACATCTGCAAGCCAGTGTGTTTTGAGCTACTGTTTTGGAATAATTCAACTATTTTCATTGGATTTTTTCTTGGTGAACATTTTAGGATATTAGATAGTGATTCATGTTAATGTAGTTCGTGCAAATACATTTCGTTATGTTGTTTACCAACAAATCCATCTTGGTGTTGTGTGAATATTTTTAAATAATGAAAATTGTGTGACGTATAGTGTTGATAGAGTCAACTTGATTCTGTTCGCTAATATTTAAATACAAAAAAAGTGATAATCGACAGAATACCAGCGACAAGAATAAACACTCATTAATGACTACAATGTATTTGTCTCTAGTTCACAACATCCACGCTAGAGGGAGTATCAATTATTTTGAATTTTATGTTTATTTGTGATGTTTGAACTCAAAAAGTTCTCAATGGACTATATATACAATTTATTACGTATAGAGAGCTTCAATACATTATCAGGAGGTAACATTGGATGCGTTATATGTTTAAAACAATAAGTTCGCTACGAAAATTGCAATAATATAATGGAAGTTTCAAAAGTCACTGACGATACATAAAATAAAATACCTACTATATGTTTTCAGTACTCATTATTAACCACAAAAAGTTTGCAATCTTATACATTTAATTTTTATAGTCAAGTCAAGGTAACATCTTTTTGTTCAAATTAGCAAATCGAAACACGGGTAGAATCGAAAGATGACATTCATGCCGTGAAATTAACTGTAATCCAACTAAACAGTGGTTGATTATATGTATATGAATTACTCTTCAAATTATTTCGATCGAACATTTTGTTTACTACTTTAATTTACTGCATACCCACGGGACTGTTCTACCTGGGTGAATTAGTTATATTTTGTAAAAACTGCAGTATGATGAAACTTCGACAGTAACAACTAAAAATATCAAAATTTGTTAAATTTTACAGATCTCACAAATACCTAACATACTGCATTCAACTCTACACGTGAATTAAATATTAGACACAACAGTTCATCAGATCATTTATACCTAGCATTTTATTTTTGTTGAAACTAGTAGAAGACGGTAAATACATTTGGGTGGATGTCTTCTGTCAATTGTCAATACGGCACCAAAAACAGATACCGCTGAGTTCCTTTAAACAAAATAAACAATTTTTAAAAACAAAAGCTAGTTGCCTAGCGAGCGCAACTTAAATTTAGATTACACGTTATTTTGTTTGAGGATTATTCACGTTTATAAATAGACAACTGAGACTTATAGGAACTAGCTTCATTTCAAGTGGATTATAAATATAAGTATGCAATGATGACACGGATTTTGAGTTCCTATTTTATGTCATGGTGTAGTAAACTAAGTCTCTATGTTTAGTTTTCCCTGAATTAACGCGTTACAATTGAGATTTTTATTTTTATTTTTGGAGGTTAATTTAGATTCATATCTGATACAACTGTCAATTATAATCAAATTCAATTTTTGGGCTTCAAATGATTACGTCTAGCAATGAATATTATTTTAAGAAAGTACTTTAATAAAAAATGAATACAATCGAAAACATTTCCATTTTAAAATAGCTAATTCTTCTAGTCAATTAATTTAAAATCCATTTCATATTACCTTATTTCCAAAGTGGTCCGTTTTTATGAGTCTACTTTAAACTGTAATATCTCAGTGAATATTTATTCAATTTGATCGAAATGAGCTCCATTTGAATCAGGATACTTTTGCCAACGTAACACAAGTTGATTGACTCCGTTAGCATAAAAATTTCGGGATTCGATAAAGCCGATAAAGACCGTTTTTGCCTAATAGTCCTGACTGGCGAAGGTTTTACCGATAAGATAGTTTGCTTGACAAAATAGAAGTCGATTGGCGAGAGGTCTGGGGACTTTGGTGTGCGAGGCAAAACTTCGATGTTCGAATCGTTTGAATTTTTGGACGGTGATTTGCTAAAAAGAGCAGGAGCAGAATCGGACCTCTTCTGTTGACCAGTGCTTGCTGCTGTTGCTGCAATTTTCGGTACATTTCATCGATTTCGTCATAATAGGAGTCTGCTGTGATGGTTTGGCCCGGTTGCAGATAAAGTTTTAGTGAATCACACCAGTCGCTGACCTCTCCGACTCAGTAAATTCATTACAAAACAGTAGATGCAGAAGCATTGCATAATACTGAAAAGTTATCTAGAAGAAAAGGTANTCTTTTTCATCTTCCATTCAATGAATCTTGAATACGCGGTTTCATAAATTTTCCGCGATTTAGCTGGCAATAATTTTTGTGACGCTACTTTCGGAAAATTCGTAGTTAGACATTTTTCAAAATAACTACTGACCTCTAAGTTCGCAATTTTTAAATCAAATCGTTGTTTTACAATCAAATTCTGTAATCACAGAATTAAATTGACAGATATTTGATTTTTTATTGATTGGTTTCCTAGCAACGCTATATGTACAACAGCCTGTTTAAAAATTCAAATTTCACATCGATAATTTTCTGATTTTAACATATTGTAATGTTTTTTTTCAATAGTAAATCGTCGTTTTTCCCGTCACAGAAAAAAATTGTGTATTATACACGGGAAAAACCGAGCTACAACCTCGAGCTTAAATCTAATACTTTTTTCCCTTGTATAATAAATGTTTTCGAAATATATTCGCAATACCGAAGAATGAATTATTCTATGAAACAATCAGATTTCACTGTTTTTCACTCTCGTTAAAAAATCGCCCGAAAAACGAAAATACACACTCCATTACCTGCTGGTAGAATAGCTCCTGCGCAAGAAAATGCGTGATTTCCTTCTGATCCAAAAACGCCATATCGCGACGGAAAAACAACACCGCGAGATAAACAAAATAAAATAAACGATAACTCGTCGTCGTTGAATCGATTGGAAAATCGAAGTCGTTCGTTCGTTGAGGAAAAAAAAAGAGAAAAATCAAAAGCCGAGCTCTGCGACTTTCCCGAGGCCCGGCTTGTCGAATAATGAAAATCGCCAGGCGGGAATTTTGGTTCGTCGCCCACCGTAGCTTTATTTAGATTCGAGGTAACGCAAGTTCGCAACTGTTGTTATTTATATCGTTCAAACTACTTGTACTTAGAGGTTTGCGCTTCCTCTCGAAGTGTGTGTATCCAGTTATTATTATTACGTTAATCGCGGGGAATACCGGCGTTTATGATCTGCGAGCTGACAACGTGCAATATGCGGATCGCGACTACGAGGGCGGTTCCAGAAGTATCCGGCCCAATAAAGAAAACACACAAATTTTGGAAAAAAATTATTGATTTTCAACATAACCTCCTTGCAGCTCTATACACTTTTCCCAGCGACATTCAATATGTTCGATACCATTTTTATGATAAGAACTGTCGTGTTCCTCAAAATAGCCATTACCTGCCGACATTACTTCTTCATTGTTAGAAAATCTTTGACCACTGAACCATTTTTTTCAGGTGGAACAGAAAATAATCCGACGGGGCTAAATCTGGCCAATAGGGTGCATGAGGTAGCAATTAAACTTCAATTCGTCAATTTTGGTCATTGCTGGTGTATTAAGTTGCAATAAGTTCGCGTAATACTCGCCGTTGATAGTTTTACCTTTTTTAAGATAGTCAATTAGTCTGGGCTCAAGTTTAGATTCGTGATAAATGGACATACTTTTAGTAAAATTAAGTGGTTAGGCTCATTCGATCCGGAATATTGTCTAGATCATTGTGAAAAAAAAATTAGTTCATAAAAAATTATTAAAACTTTTTTTTAGTAAATTTCCTCCTCTTCTGGGATCATTTATTCAAAATTCAAAAATCTTTATAGTTTACGGACTATAAACAAAACCAAGCACTGCTTTTTAGGGTCTTTAATTGTTTATAACTTGCAACGCACCGTCTTCAAACTTGAAACATATGCTTTATAGATTGTGTACTTTCTAAAACAGTAATATTTTTTAAACAATTACCGCCATCTCTGGGTCAGGCCGGGTACTTCTAAGACCACACTCGTATTTGTTGTCGGGGTCTGAGACGGGTGAAGCTACAAGAGAATGACGTCAAATTAACTCTCAGGTTTTTGTTTTTCGAATAGCAACGTCTAACTTTTCCATTTCCACAGCCATCCTAATAAAATTCTTTATAAAAGTCAAATGTTAAAATTTGTGCCACCAATATCTGTTACTCATTCCATTTCAAAAAAATTCCTATACACATTATTATGTAAATTACTGCATTTTTCGAGTAACATATTTGTAATAATTTGTACAATGTGGCAACAACGCAATATGTATATTCGATTTCTCCATAAGTTCTCTAAAAGTATCGTGAACGTAAGAAACCAGAAGTAATTTGTATTTTATCATCTTTGGAAAAAACGATATTAGGAAAGAAGAATGCTCATTTTCTTCCAGTTAGAAATGCAATGCTGTTTCGGTCATTTATAGTTTTACAATTAGAAACCTATTGACCAATTATTATCGTATCCCTTTTGACTATCGTTTATGCAAACTTGACGTAAAGTAAGCCATAACACCCCGCTAAAATCCTTGATTAAAGGCAAAAATGGAAACTATTATCAGTATTTGTCGAGTAAATGTCGCAACTCACTCGATATCAAAAAAGTGGAGGAAATGTATTTTTCTGGAGACAATAGCGTGTTATTTTCAGTCTTCTGAGAGCATTATGTACTAGGTAGCAATACAAAGCATAATAAAATTGAATAATATTGAATCCAACAAGTAATCTTTTCAACCTCCGCCCTGTACATTGCCACATACTCGTTAACCATCCTA